TAGGTTCCTGCATTTGCAAGAAAAAACTTTTATTTGATCTTGAACAGCTATGAAAATAAGAATTCTGACTCTTATAAGATTTTTCTCCCTATTTGTTTCAAATACAATACAACTATCTACTGTACAAATAAAAGTCTCAACAGGCTTATTGAGACCAGAACTTGATAAATCGAAAAGAAAAACAGGTTTTGCTAGATTTCTGTAAATTTCTCATTTTTGTCGCCTGTTGATGCTGAAAAATTTCTGCGTAAACAAATTAGGGGTTAAAATCTGTCGACTGTAAAATGATTTGAAATAAATCTAGCGACAAGCAATCATTTGGCAACAAAGCTGGTCGCTGTTCGAGCAGATAGAGCTTCTCAGTTTGTTGTAAATGTCCCTTTTATCACAAAAATTCCAAAAGGAAATAGCATAGATAAAAGTACTGAGAAGTAGTCATACGTAAAGACCAATCCGGAACCGCAAAGATCAGCCAGAAAAATTATCATACGATGGTGGAAATCAGAGAATGATTGTTTGTTCTCAAAAAAGACAGCAGCGAATAGAACTAATTACGGGAAAGCAAGACAATCTTAATCCCTCAATTCCCTAGTTCATACCCTTTTGCCATTGATCCAAAGTAAGTACGTGACCAATGACTTGACTGGCGCATGATTAAGGAAAATATGGAAGTTGCTTAGCTGACAAGACAAGACATAATATTTCCGTGTTGCTTACTGATTCTGCCCATGTTTAACAGGTCTAATTCAAAATGCTGCTTTGTAACAATCCCCTTTGCAAAATGTTCTCCATCACTGTCACCAGAAACGCCTAAGTAATATATGTGCCTACATTATTCATGGTTGTAGGCACTCACTATTTTGTAAAACATTGGGTACTCTATGATGGCGATAAAAAGGCTTTCCTCGTATCTATACCATCATGAAAAAGAGATTTGTTGATGGAAACAGCTTTTATTGGGTCTTGACCGACTGGCACGCTGTGGAATGTCCATCCATGTTTTCAAATTCTTACGCACATTTAACTCGTTAGAAACAAGGGCATGAATCTTATGCCACTCGTTCACTAACAAATTCGCCAAATGGCTAACATATCATTTCGAAAAAGTATCGCGTCTCGTGTGCAAAATTGTGGCGCTCACAAAAACTTTTAGCAATTTCAGCATCAAACAAACTCACATCAAAAACTAGGCCCGCTAGTTACTTTCGTCATTTATAGAAAGGCATAGTCCGTGAAGGATCGAATTGGGAACAAAGTGAAGTAGATGGCTCTAAGTAAAGTAAAGTTGACACTTTCCGCCGCTGTTTTTGATGACAAGGCTTTTCCTTGACCTTGTATGCTCCTGAAAATATTTTGACCTTATAATATAAATATAAAATGACCTTAAGTGCAATTACGAAATTTTGACCCTGTCATCTGTACACGTCCTAAGTAACAAAAGAAACAGTATGATTGTCGACAAACGACAAATAAGCTTCTCTTTACCATGATCAGAAATTATTGAAAGTAAAAAAGGCTTTCGCTTCTGAAGTTTGTGTTGATAGTGAAGGCTTGATAGTGTTTTTTTCGTTTGCAAATTCTTCGCTAGTTTCTACAAAAGATTTTTCATTAACATGACCCCAAAAACAGAATCTGAACTTGAATTCTACTGTATAGAATACTTTTGATAGAATACAAGCAAATAACTTTGTGTCACAACAGCAAAACACAAAAAGCATCTAAAATTTTGAAGAAATGACAAGATCTTTATAAATTCTGACATTGAATTGTCCCCTGCCTTTCTCTTGATGAATATAAGTCTCGCATATGCTCGCTTGAATCTCTTCGGTAGCTTGTTGATGATGATGCATCTTGTCGCGATGAAGCGTTTTCTTCTGTTGGTGAGTTTTTTGCTTCTTCTATGTGCAGCTAGAGGTGGCGTTCTTCGAGAACTGGAGGATGAGATCATTAGAGAGAATCTGGCGGAGGATACCAATCCATCTGCGTCTAGTTACAAGGTATGAACCAAAGTTTGATCCACTCCCAAAATTTGGAAGATAGGCCTAGGCAAGACCATATGAAGAAAATATAACAGCTTTGTGTCGATTCACATAGATTTTCCAGAAAATGATTTTTAACACTATTTTTAGTTCACCTCACTTTCCAGCTTCCTTGAACGGCCATATTGTAAAAACGTTCGATAAAAAGGTTTCTAGCAGCATTGTATTCACTATTGGTGAAGGCTTTTGGCTCTGCTATTCATTTTCCATTCAGATTTCCAAAGTATCAAAGTTCTAACTAAGGATGAAATTAATTGCGTCTCCAGTTACAATTTTTTCAAAGTAGCCTTGCTTTTAAGTTATTTTTAAGTTTAGGATAGAATTAATAGCGATAAAATCTCCAGTTTTCATCAAAAGGTTTCGTAATAAGAAGTGTGAGAATGCGGAGTTCATCCAAACCTATGTAATGTACTTTTGTGCGTCATTGTCATTCTATCTATTCTAAGTAAATAGAAAGTGTGTCGTCAAGGTCTTTCATGCTAGAGGGATTCTTAACAGCAGTATGTTGCTTTATGGTAGTATGTAGAATATACAAAGAGTTTCCATTATTTTACATTTTTATATTGTTTTGTAATCTTTTTGGGTCATCAACACACGATGAGCGTATTCTTACTCTTTGAGGTGTCGTGTGCAACAAGAGCGTTGTCGACGACGAGTTTCTATCATTTTAGGCCATTTGTTGTTTTTAACACTGTTTTCGCATCGACACGTTTTTTCATTTATTAACTAACTCGATCAATGTCTGTTAGTCTTGGGAAACCCTCATTTCATTTTATTTTCATCTTCTTTGTCACAATAAGATATTCTTGACATATTTTTTTCATCACATGTACCAAAAGTACTAAGTGCCTTTTCAAATAGCTTGTACAAGACCATGTTTGTTACCGTTGTTTTTCCTTCTTTTTATTCGATGATATTCTCAACATTCTTTTAAAAAATCACATCTCCGTTGCTTTAATGCGCTTTTTATGCGTAGGGATACTGTTCAGCGTTCGCTGCAATGTGGGAGGATGGGAAAACATATAGCAACTATAACTGATAATTTCTTTCTTGATCACCTTGGCAGCTTTGTTTCTTCTATATTTTCAAAGCGCAATGTTTGCAATTCCAATCTGCTTTCTAATTTTTTGCTTATAGCTGCATCTTTAGGTATCATGCTGCCAAGAGAGAGAAGAATCTTTTTCTGATAAATTACGATGTCTACAATCTTTTTATTCTTTTAATGTCTGTATGTGTCGAAAAAATTACCAGCACAGGTTCAAAATATCGAAGCTGAGTACATAAATCTGTCAAATGCCTCAATTTAATCTGGTATTTATGTCACTAACTATTCTCATGTATGATCTTTACTCCAAATAAAGATTTTGAAGAACTCTTTTATCCTTTCTATCCAGATCTAAAATATTTGGCATGTATAAAGACACTTAAGAGGATTAAGGTTTTTGTTTCAAGGGGACTAACTGAGGGTGGAGACAGTGAAGGAGAAAAGAAGCAAGATTTTTGGCAATGATACAAGAAATTCATTCTTTCCTAAAATGCAGGAATCGCATATATTTGAAACTAATATAAAGTTCAAACTATTTTATTCAGCAAAAAAAAAGTTTACGAGTATAATTTCTTTTGTGCTGTTGCAACAAACTAAAACATACATTTGTTAAAGATAGTGAATTCAAAGAAGCACATCCACAGAAGAATTGTAGATGTTGACTAGCAAAGGTGCATCTGGATTATAGATTGAAAATTTGTGCTGTGGATTTGTACAGTGATATTGAACAAAAATATTTGAGCAAGAGTAGATTTTTGGCAGCACATGCATTTTTACAATCATATTATTTACGAAAGGATTTTACTTCTAAGTCAGTTTCGAACGACATATTTTGAATAACAATAGAAAGCTTAGCAAGTATTTAATTGGTAGCGTCTTGCGAATGTAATTTTTGGGTTCACATTATGAATGAAATCCCTAGATCTAAAAACTTCTAAAAAGAGTTAATTTAAATCGAAGTCAATTTCAAACGACATATTTTGAATAACAATAGAAAGCTTAGCAAGTATTTAATTGGTAGCGTCTTGCGAATGTAATTTTTGGGTTCACATTATGAATGAAGTCCCTAGATCTAAAAACTTCTCAAAAGAGTTTAAAAGGAAATTTTTGCTTTTTTGCTGACCTTTAAATGCTTTGGTTCTTTACCAAAAAGTGATGTTTTGTAGATTGCACTGGCGTCATACATGAGAAAGTTATTTGCTTAGAAATATTAATTTATACAAAAAGCAAATCTACTGACGACCCTGGCTGACTGTTTGGGTCAATATTTCTAAATAAGAAAATGGGGTCATTTTGACCCGTAAGTTAAGACCTATTATGCTTTTATTCTATTGAATTCAAAACAATGACTGGTGCTGAAAAGATATCAAAAGAAGAGTACTATGAAACCAACTCGAATGGCATTTAAATATTATTAACTACAGCTTACTGTTTTTTTAGATCGTGTGTATGCAAAAACTTGATAACAATAAAAACTAAGATTCCTTTCTTAGCTAAGTTCTAAACATGGCTCTAGGTTAATCAAAATGCAAGAAAAATGTTCTAGTTTGCTACGCTTTTTTCTTAAAAGCATAGTTTTGATATGTTGAAAAGATATGGTGTGTCGGTTTGCTTGAATCTTTTAGAAATGCTAATTCAGAAATAAACCAAAACAGCCTTTTTTGTAAGAGTTGATTTTCCATAATAGTTTTTATACATCTAATAGTCATCGGTTTCTAAGAAAATCTTATAGAACAACTTGCGTTGCCTAAAAGATATTTAGAAATGAGGGTTGCTTACACTTTCTCTAAATGGAAATTATCTTTGCTATTTTACATATGTTCATGTTTAAAAGACTTGCTAAGACCTTTAAGTTTCAAGTTTCGATTGGCTTATTACTTACACTTTCTGTCTAAAAGGAAATGATCTTTGCTATTTTACATATTTTCATATTTGAAAGACTTGCTAAGACCTTCATTTTTCAAGTTTCGATTGGCTTGTCACTTCACTATATATATTCTGAGAAAGAGACGAAAACCACAAATAGTATTAAAGTTACGAAATATTAAAAATAACTTTTTCTCAACATGTTCAATATTAAATTTGCTGCTGTATTACGCCCATGGCTCTGTTTGCTCACGAGCAAAAAAACACGAAAAACCTTTGCTTCCTGTTACAATAGCATTTGAATCAAATTTTCTTTATTTCTTTCTTGACAAATGTCTCTGGATTCTAAATTTGCAGGTTATAAATCTCTTTTCAACTAGTGTCGCTGTTTGTCAAATATTGCATCTTTGCTTTTTATTGAAAGCATTATGACAACAAAGAAAAAATCATTTTTTTGTATTAGCCAAGAATAAATTCCACAGATACATAGAGTATAAAAAGGAAAAACAGAAAGATGACTTCTACACTAGCTATCAAACGCTTAAAAGAGTGCGCAAGATTCAAGAGACAAAGGCACAAAATTTGAGTGAGGATGTACACTTTGAAATATTATCTGGCATTTATGTTTGCACTGCTATGTGTGCTTGGTGTTGCTAACAGTCGATCTTTGGGAAAAGAAAAACTTGAGGAAAAAGAAGACGCACGAAATTCTTTGGAAGCTGACGAAGAGACATTTCTTTTTTCTCGAGAATATGAGGTAGGGTAAAAATTCTAATCAAGAAAGCAATACGAGCTGCCTTCAAGAGGACAGCCATGCTTATACGATTTTCAGGCATCAATGTACTCGTCTGATTTCAGCTCCAACCATTAAAACTCTTTGTCATATACAGCCTAATTGACTTATCGAGTCTCGTAGTAGTCTGTATATAATATGATTTTAATAAAGAGAACTAAGCAAGAGACGAAGCAAAGAGATGCATAAGTGATCACAGGAAAGTGAGGTTGTAGATTACAGTTTTTTGTTTCCATCGTTGCAGGAAATGCTTTTTGAAAAAAAAATATTATACGGTTTTGCTAAAACACATTTAAACTATCATCGAGCCACTCAAGTGCATTGGTATATAGTAATTTATCTATGTTTTAATAAGAAGTTGAGAGGTCGTTTCATATCAATCATTTCTTCAATTAGTAAGTTTATGTGTCATTACTTTTACCGTACTTTTCTCTAAAGCAATTTTGTTATAATTAATTGGTTTGATGTCTAATCGAAAGGTTTTGTAAGCAAACAATTTTTCTCGGGAAACGCAGATCTGTTTTCTTCCTTTTGTAGATTCTAGGAAGTTTATCTTCTTTCAAAAGGCAATTAGAACACCCCTTTCTGGTATGAAGGAAGGTTTGAGTGCAATTTCATGAACCGATGATCTTCTTTCTAAACAATGATTATCGATGTTGATTTGTATCATATCTTGAGCATCCGAATCTATGCCCAAATCAAAGGCAATCATAAACTTCATGATTTCTCGGTTCAAGTGAAATTGGTTAGCTCTATTTTTACAACCAACATTTAATATTTCAAATTTTTCAAGGAAGGAAAGGGTAATTTACTTAAACATAGATAGCTATAAATTTATGAATTCTAAAAAATTGGTTTGAACATAATTCATAGTAACAATACAATCCAATTAATTAGCATTTGGCAACAAGAACCAGCTTTGTATTAAGCTAACTAAAGCCAACTACTTACAATATAAGTAAAAGGTAATTATTGTAAAAAGTGAGTTCAGAATTCTCGATGTATTTGGGAAGCAATTCATTAGAATTTGATTGGATTCGATTAAATACAGGCCATTATTGTCTTATAACCTTGGAGTACTTCAAACCAACCCAAAAGGTACAAAAAAAACTATTTTGATCTTGATTATTTTCTGGAAACATCAATTTCACTGCAAGTATAGTGTAGCAAAATGCAACGCACTTTTCATTTCTAGTTAAACAAACTTTTCAAAGAGTTACGTAACAAATCGATTTCGTTAACAAGACAATCAATGCAACACTCTATTTAGCAATGCTAATCTCTTTGAAAACAACATATTGATGCTACCAAGCTGTGCAAATCAAGCACTGTTATTTTCTTATGCAGAGCACTGCCGCCATTGATTGTAAAATTGAATTCAATGAAAACGCGTTCAAAAGTAAATAGCGCCCTGGATAGCCTGTCGATAATCAGTTAGTCGTCAGATTCTATTTCTGAAACTTAACTGATTTTAAATATATTTCTATTTCCTAGTTTGGTTAAAAAAGTGTCGGGGAAGAAATAAACCATTCAAACCTGATGCAAGTGCGTCATTAGTATTTACAAAGGAATTACGCCGAGTGAATTAACTCCCGATTCGGTTTAGTGACGTCATTAGTTTGCTTCTTTAGCCATCATTGAAAAAGAGTGATTCATTTTTCAAACTGCTCCACCGCAGTTTTGTTGTTTAACAATTAAATTATATATCTAAAAAATTGATCAATCATTCTAAATTTGCATCTTCAATTATCATTTGACTTTGGACTTTAAAAACACTTAAAAAGCAATGGCTTTATGTTTTCCGAAGTTTTAGTATCACCTTTATACATAAAGTTTGCATCAACCTTCATTGGGATAAGAAAAGCTATATTGCCTTTGAAAAATGTTTTCGATTCGACTTTTCAAACAAGTGAGGGAATAAAAGTTGACTTAATGCCTCCATTGGCTATCATTCTGCATTCTTATGTTCAAAGAATGAGAACATGGCCTATTCTAATAGCATCTGGGCAACATGCCTTTGTGCATACGTATAAGGTTTTCTATTTCTGAACTCTTTGATAATCTGGTTATAGCTTGATTTATATGGATTTTTTTCAGGATTGCCTCCAGAAAGCTTCTTCTTGCTTCAGAAGCAACGTGGCTGCCGCTTGCTATGCAACGTTGAATCGGTGCATGGGGAAAAAGAAATGAAGAAAAGTTGTATCATTGAACTGCAAAACAATGGGTGGAAATTATTCTAGAACTGTTATTAGTCGACTCACCTTATGAAGCATAGTCAGTTACTTCAGTTTGTAAATCACAAAAAGAGTTCGTCATAAACTTCTTTGTTTCTCTGAAAACTCTCTGTTTGGCCTGAACGGCAGGCTTGCTCTGCACTGTTAGACTGCAAGCAGCCTCTCTTATTTTGAGAGCTTGCGTAGGATGCATTGAGATTTCAAACATGCAACCAGGTCTGTATGGATTACACGGTCTCTGTTTGAAATGAAGAGCCTCTAGATGCATTTTTGCATGCAAGTCAAATGAAATTTCCTTGGTGATAACTTCACAAAGGGTGTTGTAGAATTTGAGTTCCTTAAACCATTTGTTCCTTTTGATACCTTTGGGAATAATAGAGAAGTAAGAATTTATCAGTTTTGGCTTTTGCACGAAAGTTTTTCCCTTGTCTAAGATGTGTTTCTATGTGCTTTGAGTAGGGCTTACCATGCCTGATTGAAATGTTCTTTAAAATTTGTTCCAGATTACCATATAAAAGAAATTTGGCAGAAAAGGGTAAGATGGTCCTCAGAATAATTAGCCATTCTCAGTTACAGGACAAAAAGTAGTGTTTTCCTATGATTTGGGTGGTGTTCTCCTATTATTTGGGTGGTGTTCTCGCAAAGACGGCAATGAATAGACCCCAATCATTTTGAGGGGATTGAGAAGGAGAAACAATGGCCTCCTTCCGCCTACTAGCAGCACCATGTTCATTAGGAAGTCACAAACCATTTGGCCATCAACTTATACACGAAGAAAGTAAATTGAAAGAAACATACCAATGAATGCTTGAAAAGACTTTGGTTGGGTGGTCATGGTCGCAAAAATTCTTTACTCTACACAATCCCCACACTTTTATTTTATCCCATCCCTCCTTCTCCTTTCATAAAAATCATAGCTTGTTTCTTCGCATCCTTGATAACTCTATCGGCTCATCTACATCGCAAAATTCTTCTTATAGTTCTTTTTGTTTTTTTAAGATAGACTTAGGTATTTGTTATGTTTCTCTTCCCCTTTCCTAACTTAGGTGACAGTGCGAGCAGTGTCAGAGCCACAAGGGGGAATGGAGGAAGACTAGTCTCCCCCTCTTTTCAGAATCTAATGAGAAAAGTTTCGGGGGGAGGGGTGTACGTTCTCTAAAAGACAGAAGCTGATTTTAGTGCAGCAATTCAGGTTTACCGTAGCTTGAGTTCCAGACCCCTAAATGAAAGAATTTGGAGTCTGGGTTGCAGGCTAGTTTATCGTCAATGACTGCTGTTAAGGTTAATAATCAATATCGATTCTATACTTTTATTATGATTCTTCCACACGTAAAACTTCGGTTTGAAAACTCTGATGTAAAGTTATTAACAACAACGCTCATTGGGAATGGTATATTCTCAGTATCCTGAAAGCTAACTTAGAATGCTAGATAGAAACAAAAACAAACAACTTTAGGTATCTAAAGAATGTTTTGTGCATCGGCTACCTGGTGGTGAAAAGTAAACTTTCCTTGCCAATTCCCGGCCTAGAATTTTAAAAGGCTTAGTAAATTGAGTGCATAAAGTTATATTTAAAGCTAGGGTTTCGAAGCCGATGCACCAACAACCAATCATCGCCTCACATTATGAAGGAATGTAGCCACAAGGCCTGATTTGATTATGAATGTGGTAATGTCTTCTGTTTGAGATAATTTTTGAAATTAAAGGAATTTTTACGTTGATATTTTCTTCACTGAGTAAGAAATAAGCTACATCCTGCATAATTGAATGTACGTGGGTGCCTTTTTGGAACAAGTGTCAATTTGGCTAGACAATCAAAAAATGGGAATGATTTTTAACAATATTTTTCGGAGTGCGTTTGGAATAGCAAAATATGTAGAAGGTGCAATTAAAGACAAAATATCTAGAACAAATTAACAGTATTGATGTAAGAAAAAACAATTAAATCTAAAACCAATGGCGTTGATAACAATGAAAAGCTTTTACATTATAGGTCTAGTGTTGAAATAAGCTTCAAGTTAGTATTGCAGTTTGATATCTTAAAAGGATGCAAACAATTGTTCCAAGGATCTACAGCTCTTTTGTATTGGCAAAAACACTTCTTTGCAGCCAAGTTTCAGCTTAACAGGTGTAAGAAAAACTATCAATGCCACAGAGATAGTGCGTACCATACATCCAAGTATCTGCGAATTGCTATAAAGTCTTTTCGAGAGTAAATAAACTGAGGGGTAAGCTTTTGTCATAAAAACATAAAGATAATAGCCTATTATTTTTCAAAAATGTAAAATCACTGGGGCTAGAGGGGTCACTGCACCCTGGTTAAAGGCAGTCTATCCCCCATTGTCCTCAGAATCTCCTTTCATGGCAATGATATTCATGCATCGTCGGTTTAATGCACAAGCAAGCAATCAGCATGAAGAACCAGCATAGTGTACTCTTCTTTAGCGAGTTACTGTGCAGTTTGTTTTGGTTTCAAACGTGTAGGTCAGTCTCGATGATTTAGAAATTAGCATTATTTTGTCGTGCTCATCCACAATAACAAATCGCGGTTGCTTAAAAGGCAAAGAAAAACCCTCTTTTTTAAGGCGAGGCATTCCAGTCAGAACTAAACAATCATGGTGAGGAATTACTGTCTTTAAGGACTATTCGCTCAACTGCAAGTATGCTTTCAATTGAAGAAGAACATTGTCAGCAGAAAGAATAGGGAATGAACAATGGCCACGAATCTTCTTTAATGAAAGCAGTCTGCAGGTCTGAGAATTTTACTTCTCATATTTTTTAAGATAGCAATGATCTCTTGACGTATTTCTTCCAACCTTATAACGTATATTATTGGATTTAGGGAGCTATTTATGAATATTACAGTGTCTGACCATTTTCCACTAACGTAAAGCACATCAAGAGTGTCCCCAAGAAGCAAGTTTGCCACGAGCGTAATTATCTTTGGAATGAAGCAGGCAACAAAGGTACAAACAATGACCAGTGTTGTAAAAGACTTTCGACGCTGCAACTTCAACCACATTAGGTCACACTTTTTTTTTCTGACATTTTGAGTGTCACTTGGCTCGATGATTGGTGCAGGAATACTCGCACAAATCTTACGTTGGTGGCGTCGTATGACCGTATATATTTTTAGGTAGCATATAACTGAAATAGAAATTGACAAGCACATGACGATTGATAAGGAGAAATGGAACCTTTTTGGGCTGATGACACCAGCAAAAGGAAGTAGAGTGTATGCCAACCAAGAAATCCAGTAAAAAATTACCCAAGCTGCATACTTTACATGGATTGTATCGGCAATGTATCGGTATGGGAAACAAACTGCAAAATACCTGTCAAGGCTGAAAGAAAGTATGGTGAGCATGGAAACTCCACTGCAAAAATAACCAACAAACGCAAAGAATCTCTTCAAAAGACACAGGTGTATGTTTCCGAGCTCTTGCAACCGAAGAATGACATAAATTGTTTGCACCAAGAGTCCAACAAGGAAATCAGAGATTGACATGCTTGTGATGATTAGGTTTGCTGGCGTTCTCGAGGAGGTCTTGCGGTACAGAGCCACAAGGGACAGTGAATTGCTTGCAATAGCAAATAATGCAAATATACAGTTAAGTAGGCATGTTGCTATAATCGTTATAACAACGCTTGTAGTTCTGTCGAATTTCACTGTTTTCCATCCATTGCATTGACCAAGAGAAGTTTGGTTGTTCGTTGAATTGATGCCAGAGCTCAGCGTCACGTTCATTTCAGCAATATCTGATGAAAAATGATAATCAGATGATGAAGATAATTATATATATATATATATATAACAATTGGATCTACATGCAGATCTGAATATCGAATACCGTACCAGACTGTCAAACGTGCCACAAATGTTATACATAATGTTATACATGCTGGGCTGTTTTTTAAACGCCATTTTCTTTGTTTTTGTTGTACTGACCGTAGTTCACAAAACATATGAAAGAGGAATGAGATTCATGACAGAGCATGGTGATGCGGGATGGGTGGGTCAGAAAAGGCAATTTCAGCTTGACGTAATTATTGAGCGGCCCAAAGCCTGTAAATAATTATGGATTGCAAGAAAAGACAGAATTCTTTATCTGTAGACTAAAAGACTTTGCCGACAGTCTGGTGAAATTCTCATGATTTTTGAGCAAGCGGCACCGTTGTAAACGGGTATTATTGAAAACACAGTAAAGTGAAACTCTTGAGAAATCGATTTTTGATCGAGGTATTCGACTTATCAGGAGTTCGACTTATCCTTGACAATTTATGTACACAAATCACATATAAACAAAGGAAAAAGTTTGAGATAGGGGTGGATCGCCTTGAGCAGTAGTCGACTCGACCTATCGGTGTTCAGCTGCATATCGTATAGGGCTACAATTTACACTTTGCCGAATGACTTACGAAGCACAGTATAGCGGGTTAAGATGCACCATTTAATTTTATACGTATACAAGGTGGCCACTCCGATCTATCGATTGTTTTACTGGAACCATCTTAAAAAAACTCACAGTTCCAAAACTAAAGTTCATTTTCTACAATAAAGTGAAAAGCTAGTTCAAATTTTCTAAAAAATAGAAATAGTACTTAATAATACGAGAACAAAGAACAATGATTGAAAATAAAGAGTTCAAATAAATTTTTTTCCGCAGGCAAATGAGTCAAATGTCCTGGAAGAATTCATTTTTCTGAGTGAAGAGCTTCAAATTGTTTAATCTTTGTGGAGCAAAATTTTGATTTAAACCTTGGAGGGTTATAAAAGGGAATCTATCAAACTGATCCTAATAGATAAGTAGGTGCATTGATCCAAAGAAATCTGATTTTACTGTGTATAAATTCCGGTAAATTCAATGCATAATGCATCATACTTGCAGATTCTTGTTTCAACATAACAGAAATAAGCTAAGAAAGCACGGGGAAGTGATTTGGAGCGTCATAATCTATTATAGCCAAGAGAAATGACGCAGTAGAACTCTTCAGCCGACTGCTTAAGAAACTGCTACAATCGTCGGGGAACAAAGGAAAGAAGTGGAGAAAAGGACTTTATCTATTACTTCCTAACTACGGCTTAACACCACACTGCATGAAAAAAGCTGCGTCCACCAAATTTCAGTTTCATCATGTGATCAAAACAAGATATCTAGCTGCACAAACTACGTCAAACTTCCTATTAACAGAAAGTTATTCGAAGTAATGATACAAAAGTAAATCGAGAGAAAAATCTATGACAGGAAGCAATAAACCAAGTCGTTGGATAGGCCAAATACTTGTAAAACAAACAAAAAATGAAACAAACTGACACCTATAGTCTTATCGCGTAACCAACTTCAGAGGAAACAGCTAAAAGGTCATAGTTCAAAGATCACAGCTAAAAGGTCACAGCTAAAAGGTCACAGCTAAGGAGTCACAGCTGAAAGGTCACAATGAAAAGGTCACTCGCAAAAAATTAATTCTTCAAGAAATTCTAATACATCGAAAGACATTGAGAATCACGACAAAGATTCGGTTAAAATTGAAAATAACGTTGACATCAAAATGGAATGAAAATAGGATATCAGCATTTCAACTCAGAAAGATTGTACAAATGCCTATTTTTCTAAAGTGCAATATTGACATTTAAATCCAAGTTTCTAATAAATAACTGCTAGCTATTTATTTACTGTTGTATCAGACTACTTTTAAATAAAAAGAAAGATGCAGCAAACTCGATAAGAACACTCCTTTTTTAGATACGCTATTTAATGAGATCGGAAAAGAGTCGGTTTATGTTCATGTTTTGTTCAGTCAAGAAATTATTCATCTCTGATATCAATCTAGAATTTCAGCCGTATTTTTGCTGCTAAAACAAATCGAATTCATAAAATCAATGCAACTTTAAGCTTGTTGGGGAGAAATGCAAGATGAACTTTTATAATGAGTGAGGCAGCCCTCCGTCCTTCAGTCAAAGGACATGCGCATGGAACGATGTGATATTACGCATGCTCTCTGACTCCGAGACGGAGGGTTGCTTCACTCAATTGAAAAATTTCGCTCGCTCGTCTCCCCAGCAAAAGCCTGTTCATATGAGGAAGGTTTCCATGGCAAGCTTTACTACATAGAATACCAGAAACGTTCTCGTTAGAATAGACCTGGGCATCATACGGCCCGCGGGCCACATCCGGTCCTTTAGACCTTCTTGTCCGGCCCGGGTGAGTGTGTGATAAATCAGAACATGTACGTTTGTAGGTGTAATTCCCCACTTGAATAACATCACGATAACCAGTACCAGCTAAAATATAGTATAATTTGTTGCTTTTAACGAGTAAATGAATATTGTGCAGAAAAAGGTTATCGTTGGATCGGCCCTCCAACACTGTTCAGGTATCATGTGGCCCCTTTATTAATTGCCGAGATCATGCTTGAGCACTTCCGAATCCGGTCTAGGCTTCAGCCTTTAATATTTCCCGGCAAGGTGGGAAATTACCTGCACATGGAAGGTCAATGATTATTCCTCCAGCTAGCAGAGATCAAGAATCCCACTTCACCGGGAAAATGCCTTGGAAAATTTTTCCCGGCCACAGAGACCTTAGGCCCAAAAAGTCAAAGGTAAGTCAAAGGAGATTCAAAAAAGTGAGTCGTGTGAGTCTCGATTAATCGAATTCGGCATACGGTCTCACCGTGTAGCTCCTGGTTAACTTTTGAGCACCCGAGTTTAAGGTCTGTTATATGGATGAATGAGCGTTATGTTTCACATAATGTTGATAACTTAGCAATCGTGTTCATGACGAGATAGCTTTACGTGTAGTTATGCGAGCCTAAGCGTGGTCCATAATCAGCATTCCCCTGGGAAATTTTTGCAACATATTGCAATAGCTAAAACATCACACAAGAATCACAAACTTTCAAATTGGTTCAAATTTTTTGACGATCTTATTTTGACCTTTTTTCATAATGAAGCTTGTGACTTACACTAACTTCTTTGGGCCCCCGGGCCAAAGCGAAGACGGGGCCTCCCTATCAAAAAGTGTGTAAGTCCGATCTTATTTTTGAAAAATTAGATAGAAGAAATTTCACGAGTAATTAAAAAATTAATTGAATGCTGAAAATGTTGCATCTGTAGCTACTACAAAAAAGTCAATTATTGAGTCGAACAAATACATTTATTACTGTTAATATAACATATCGGATTTTCTTGCTGAATTTTTTATTGATAAGTATGCAACATTAGTAATAACAAGGCGGCTTGATCAACTTATTAAATTGAGTTCAATAACTGCTATTTTCATCACGTCTTGGCCCAGTATTACTAAGAAAAAAGGAAGGTACATTGACATTAATGCTGAAGTAGTTTATAGTGAAAAGCCCCATCGATGAAGCCATGACCTTGGAACAGTAGCTTTTTGTGCTTCAGCTTTTTGTGCTTTTTGAACAAACATTTTAGAATCTGTTTCAATATCTTTTCACTTGATCTGCTAGAAGATTGGACAATTTCATGCTCTTTAACTGATTGTAAAAATTCTGCTTCTGCAATTCCTTTCAAAACATAAGCGGTAATTTAAGAGACTGTATATTGAATAAAGTTTTTAGCAAAGGCTTTGATAATTTTAAATTGCTTGATAGATGTATTAGGTTGAGAAGAGTATCCCTCTCTTCCTTTGTGAAGTTAGGGTGCTATGTCAGATGAAATCATCCATATCCTCAGTGGCCCAGTGGGAAGTGTGGCTCTAGTGCTTTTCGGGTCACATAAAAAATTAAAACGATCTTGACGTAATCCATGCAATTAGTTGAGAATGAAGAAAACACACGTTGAGAATGCAATTTCTCTAGATACGTTTACTGTTTACATATTCAGTCAGACCCGATAATAGAACTGGCTTGGAACAAGCTGGAGCTGGAGCGGATTAACGCACATTTCTCACTCAAAGACCTAAATGAATGCATACATTGTAGTCAAAATGTAAATGACTCTACTACGCTCCTTCTGTTCAATTGTCATGACAAGAAGTTTCGCAGGCTAGGTTAGGCAACAAAATATTTGTTTCATCTATGAACCGTCCAAAAATCACGTGCTATTTTCGCAAATTCACACTATGTTATTGTCACGCTCGAGTCAATGGGAAATAAATAATTGGAAATAGGCAAAAGGAAATAGCGTTTTCGGGGAAAAAATATAAATCTTAGCATCTTCGCAAGGTCCAAACATTTCTCCGGGATACTTGGAATATTCAAAAATAGAAAATGAAGTACAAAGTAAAAAAGAAACATTTTTTTTCAAATCTTATAATAGCCAAGTTTGTTTAACTAACAACAAAACCTTTATTTTAATGATAAATAAAGCATCTTTCTTTTACTATTCATGCCATGTCCAATGGGGAAGAAAAACATGTCAGGAAAACACATTTTTCTTAGGTTGGGTAAATTCTATATGCTGCTATACAAAACTAATTCAACGCTGAAAAGTATTGAATAATTGAGATCTGAGCAACGTGATCCATTGTTGAGAAAGTCGTTCCTTCTTAACAGATCGAGCTCACCAACAAGAATTAATGTATTAAAGCCTCTTAGTTTTTGTTATCACCACTACAAAGCACGGATTGAATAAGATTACGAATGATACCTATAACATTAAGGCCAATCTCTATTAAAGCGAATCTCAGCGATCGCTTCGCGCAGCCACCAGGTGGTTTCAGGCGGTGTCAGGTAATTTCAAGCGGTTTCAGGTGATTTCAGGCGGTTTCAGGTGATTCCAGGCGGTTTCAGGTGATTTCAGGCGGTTTCAGGAGGTCTCAGGCGGTTTCAGGTGATTTTAACATTTATAACATAGATCTTTTGAAAAGTTTCATTGAATAATACTTGGCACCCTCCCTCTTAAACGTGCCTAAATCTTGCGACAGAAGACTTGGTGGCAAAATGGCATGATAACATAGCATGCATATTAGGGCAAGGAAATCACGGAAGGGTGTTCAAAATGAGGAGGAAGATTCGACGCACTGAAAGAGTCGTCGACCCAGCGCAACGAATGTGACGAGGACATGACGCAGTGAATAAAATGTTGACTGGACGCACTGAAAGAGTCGACGACCCAACACACTGAATGCAACGAGGACCCAACACACTGAATGCAACGGCGACACGACGACACGACGCACTGAAAGGGTCGACGACCCAACGCACTGAATTCAACGACAACTCGACGCAATGGATGAGTCAACGAAGAAGCGAAGCAAAGCTGCCAAGTAAAGGAGTGCATAATCGAAGCCGCTATGTGCCGACGTAACGATGCAAAAATTTTGTCCAGGTTCTCTGGAATCTTGAGTAAAAGTTGATCTATGGCCAAAAAGCATTTAATATTTGCAAATACGCCGTGCTTTTTATCTTTTTTAAACTAATTTTTAGCCTGATGTACGCACCGATTGATAACAACAGTTTTTCAATTGATTGAAAAGTAGGTAGATAAAACATCAAGTTTTTTCAATGCAAATGTAAAATGCTTTGTAAAATATAGTGCTTTTTGTTGTGGAAACGGATAGCTCCTAGCATAACTGACTTGGCTTTCCGCGGAGCTTTGTATCTGCTGGGTCACAGTAAATGATAAAAGGATTCGTGTCACGGATGCGCAAGATTTTTTCTGGCAGTGAATTTTAAATTTAAGATCGTGTCACTGTAAAACAGTAAAAATCACTGTTAAAAAAGTACTGAATGCAAACAAAGAGCCAGAAATACGTATCTCAAATGCAATTTATTTTTAAAAAGTCAATTACAGATGTTTGCACAAAAAATTGTGACAGAAATGTTTTTAAGAGGCTTATCTTTAGTATTAAGTAGAAACATGAATGTCTAGCTCACCTTTCTGGGTACGGAAATTCAATGTACAACAAAAGAAAGCTGCTGCTGCCGGAGTGCCTTTGAAATTTCTTCATCAATTGATTTACCGCACATATATCGCCTTACTGCTCAAGTGACTTTTCTCTCTGTCGCTCCTTTTATATAAGACACATCAACGTATGAGCATTGACACCTGCACAAGTAATTGATGCTCAATATTCCATATGCTCTAGAAACCGGTGTCCGGAGAAGAAAACCTCAATACGACTTGACTTTTACTGCAAAAATTGAAAGTTCTAAATTTCTAGCGGATTGTCTGAAAACTTGATTCTGTTTTAAAGAGGCTTAAAAACAACTACCACGCAAGATTACTTCAGAACTCGAACTATACGCATGTTAAAAAATTCATCCCGAATTTTTATTCTCAAGAGTATGAGATGCAAGCGAGAAATCTACTGTTGAACTTGAAAGCTTTTTAAATTTATGTAACAATGAGTAAAAATACACAAGATTGCAAGAGTTTTTTGAGGTAAATCAGCACCTAGCAAGCTGTTTTGGCACAAAAAGCTCAACATATTCTTGTTTAAACTTTTTTCATCCTTAAAATGACAATTTTTTTTGCGAATCCTTTACATATCGCTAGAGATCAAATTCACATAAGAAACAAAGTAGTTTTCGTTGAACGGTCAATTTGAATGTATGAGAATGGTGCAAGAGGTTTACCAATTGATTTGGGCAAAAACATATCTCTTCATTGTTTACTAGCTGGGATTCCATATCGGTCAAAGAAGTTCCCTCTTTGCGATGCTGCTGTTAGTGAGAGGGGTGATTTTTCCAATTGCCCTCGCTGCACTATGCTACAGACAAAATTGTCGCATTTAGCTTTGCTTCATTGTAAATCAAAACATTAGGAAAAATCAATAATCAACAACAAATATTTCAAGAAAAATGAAATTTCAAAAAACAGTTCTTATCGTCATAAGATTGCCCTTTGGTATGAAATGGTCATGTCAAAGAAAAAAAGGACAATTTGAGAAAAACTTTGAGTGGATTAATAAGAAGTGGCAATGGTTTCTCTAAAGGACGTGGCAGAGATTTCTTATGCGGATTTGTATAGATTGAGTGAGAAAAAGGTTTTTTTCAGAAAAAATTATGAACATTATAAACAGAGTAGGAGCATTGCTATCTGCTTAGTATTTATTGTTTTTAAAGTATTAAAATTTTAATGAGTATGAATATTTTTATTATACCCCACGGATTAGAAAAATTTTACATATTCTTCTTCGTCTCGTTTGTTTGCATTATATTAACGTGGGTCACCTTTATGCACCGATCTGTGGTATTACTAACCTAAGCCCCTGTTAATGGCTAAAGTAGCCTCTTTCATTACGACCACAGAATGGAAGCAAAATTCAAAGGTTTCGATGGTCCTGGAAATGTATCGAGGCAAAAAATGTTTGGTTTGAGTAACTAGCAAACTAAATGGGTAACGTACAGTGCCAGATTTTAAAAACATGGTCATTAAACCGTTTTTCAAAGGCTTGTATTTGGGGACTAGCGTGGGGGACAGTACAGTACTGCAGGACCCCTTGCTGGGGCATGCTTTAAAAAAGATTATAAAAATCTGATGGTATTCAGAGAATAGTGAAAGGGTACAACATAAATAATGGACATGTGCTAGGGGAGCATACAAAAGGGGGTTTCTATGCTAGAAGGGTGATTTAATGATAGAAAATGGACATGTTTAAATCAAAAGCAGCACTTTTCAGAAAGAGATATCTTTCGTTTCAAGAAGTGGGAGGCTTTGGTGAGAAAATCAGAACTGACAGATAATAAGACCTAGCATCATTGATCCTAGTTTGGGATGGATGCTTCGTAGCAACACAATTTGCAAATGTCAAAGATAGCCAGGGACAACCATGGACCCAACAAAGTAATCTTTATGATCGGCCAGCGATTTGAAAGGCGAGCATTAGGCTCCGATTACAAGCTACACGATACAAGGCATTAGGATAGGCCTTGTTGTCGCTTCGCCTTTGCAAAGTCAAACTAATCCACTCCATAACCTCGTCATCTACGTAATAAGTGGCATAGAGGCCATGTATGACAAGCTTTTACATATACAAAGGGAAAATGTGAACGCATGACAAGACCAGAGCACGGCTCGAGCCAGCGACCCATTCGTCGTTTGCTTTACCAACTGCGCAACCGGTCCCATCTCAAATCAAAGCCATTGCAGGATCCATAGCAATGAGCACTGGACCTGCCATAAGCAAGATAAAATAATTCCTCATTTCATCTTGCCATAAGTAAACGACGTACAGAGACACTGATCGCGGGATTGTGTCCTGGACATTTACGAAAACATCAACACTCAAATATAGGGTGAAATTTGAAATCAAATGCTTTGAAATATATTTTGTATAGCATTCAGTCTTTGCTCCTAAATTTTGAGCATGGAAAATACGATTTTATCCGTTATCTTGAAGCCTTGAAGACGCTTTCTCTTTTTCGGTCCAGGCAAAAGCTCCTTACTTTTGTTTCGATATCAGATTCTACAGATTCAATTATAAGGCTTTGGAGTCTCCCTTGTCCCATAAAGGATCTTTGTCATATCTTTATCTTAGCTTCAAGAATCCCCTTTCAGCACTCCAGAATGTCCAAGGCAGTGAGAGTGCTTTTTCCATCGGCCTCTTCACTTTACCAAATCATATCAGCTAATGCCAGAGATTTCTCAAAAACTCACCCATAAGTCTGGAAATTTTTAAAAGGATGCAACCCCGTGCAACTAAGTGCTGGCGTTCCCTCTTTCATGGCAAGTCATGTTAAACATGATCATATATGTAATATCGTCATCTTTTTGGTCTCACTTTAACACCTTATCCACCCACAGTTTAGCAAATGTTTCTTCTACTGAATGGAGAGTTACTATTATCATTCGTTACCGTATTTTAAAACCATTGGCATTTGCGCGGAGTTGAAAAGTTTTCTGAGCCTCGCCTTGCAGTTTCTTTATATCTTCAATGAGATCTTGGAAGGAGTCATGATAATTCTTTACATGTTATTTTCTGTGTAATGAATAGCACTGAATAGCGTCACAAAAATAGCGCCGTAATGTGCTAGCGCTTTTATGTTTATCGGCTTCCAAACCGATATTTTTCAACCGATTCATAAGGCAATAAAGATTCTACAGGCAGCAACACCATTGATTGATTCACATCTTAGAAATTTCTGCATCGCTGCGTGGTATAGCTATTGAAACGACCACTTTTTGTAAATTTTGCTACCGAGCCACGTTAAGAACAATTACCTGTCGCGCTTTTTGTATGATGTTTAGAGAAAGTTGAAAGAAAAAAACAGACTTATCATCTAGTTTTTGGACCCAGAAGATTAAGTGAACTCATAGGCGAAGCAGATGCTTAACGTTTAGGGGGCTTAGTGTGGATCTTGTCCAAATATTATTGCTTCAGTGATATGGAACTGTCAAAATATATAGGAACTCTAGATTTCCTACGCCTATGAGCGTGCTGGGACTTTTCAAATCAAAAAGCTACATCTGCTAAAAATAAAATGAAAATTATCTTGTTATATCACCTTTTTGAATATGATAATATACTATAACTTATAATACTGTAGGTACTTTTCTCTTCGGCTTAACTCCATCAGAATTGATTTGGGATATATTTGGGATTGTTTTGGGATTGATTTGGGATTGTTTTGGGATTGATTTGGGATTGATTTGGGATTGATTTGGAATTGAGAAGGAAAGTCAAGATGTGCTAAAGTAATATCCAAACTACTTTCTAAGACTACATGCTTCAACTCTGACTTTAAAAAGCAATCGGAAATTTTGCAAATTACCGCGTGTTTCTCTAATGTATGGGATTGAAAAAGCCATACATCATATTAGATGTTCGCCTGCAGCCAAGAGTAGGCCGTTTGCGGTATAAGCTGATCAGACAGCAAGTTGAGAGTTTCTAGGCTATCGACAGCTGGTCCCTGAAAGATACTGAGAAGAAATTTTCCTGCAGTAACAGATCAAAACAAAGGATCGCAGATGTCAGATTTTTAAATTAGCGGTTTTCCCATCATTTTCCGTGAACCCTGCTCCCCGCGTAAGTGGAGTGGGCCCTGCGCCCCGTGTAAGTATCCTTTCGTCTGGCTACATGTCCTAGCCATTTAAGCCTAGTCTCTCAGAGCTTTCCTCTTAACTCACCAACTGATAGTCTTTGCCTAACCTCCAATTTTCTTCCTGTCCAGTTTGCTGCCTTAGCACTGGAAGCTTCTGGTGCCAAGAGTTCTAGCACTCTTGTGTATTTTGTTGATGCATGTCTAGCAGTCTCTTTGGGTGGATAATGTTGAGCTGCAAATAGTTAAGTTTCATTTTCTGTTCACTGGTAGTCACTTGAATTATGGGTAATCTGTCCCGCAATAGCAAGAAACTCTACTGAGAGTTGACCAAAACGTGATTGATCACGTTTTGATCACATTTTACATTAATGCAAGGCTCCCTTAAAAATATTTTAGCCTACAGCCAAGCTTAAGGCTTGCATTATTTTCTCTAGTTATTTTTTTTCGCAGAGGCTATTGAGGAGGGAGTTAGGGAGAGAGAAAGGGATAAAGGAAACTGCAGAAGGTAAGGAAAAGTTAAGGAGGTACAAAGGGAAAGAAGGAAGGAAAATAACACATCCAATCTTCTTCCCCAATGGCCTCTGTGGGAGGAGAGTATTCTCTAGCAAAACGTACTTCACAATTTGGGTATAAACATAACAGCAAGTATGTTTAGCTAGTCCCTATTATCATAGTAGATAATTACACAAAGAGAAAACACAAAACTGTTGTGCTAATCAAAACATACATGTGACATATTGTAATAGGGTATTTCATCTACAGGATAATCAGCTATATCTTAAATTCAACTCAACATGAAGTCGATTGCATAAATATTTACAAAATGTGACGAATGGCATGCTGGGTTGATAAGTTGGTGATGCATCATGTTCAATCTTACTAGGCTACTTTCTAATGGTAGTCTAAACCAGGATCTCAGTTCAAAAGTGATCTTCTTTTTCTGCATAGCAGCTATAGTGATCTTCAAAAGATCAGGAATAATATATAAAGAACAAAAATTAGCTAATTAGATTAAATTCACTAACGTGAGAATCTATCAAAACTATCTTAAGAATATTCACGAAACGATATATTGCTTCAAGTCTAAACTTATGGAAGATCCTCTTTAGAGAGAATATATCTTCTTAGATATATTCAGTCAAGCGTTTTTTTATTTTTACTATCTCCCGTTACGTGCAAAATATTTATAGTTGCTTGATCCCTGTGCTTAGCTTTATAGCCTTCTTCAGTTACGTTTATATTTTTATGATAATCTTCAGTCACGTGTTAATTGATATTTCTTCTTCAGTAAAGTTTATATTTTCATAGTATTCTTTAGTCACGTGTTAATTTTTATTGCTTTCCTCGGCCACCTGTTAATTTTTACATATTTTTATAATTTCTTCCAGTCTTAGATTAATGCCCATATGTAAAATGTGTTTAGCTACTTTTAGTCACTTATCAATGTTTCATTTTTTTACAGCTTCTTCCAGTCACTTGTTAATTTTCACAAGTTTTTCCTGTCAACTTACTGAGTCACGTGCTCATTTGGCAAAATAAACAATCTATTTTAAAGTTTTCAATCCGGTTTAAGCCCAATTTTTCGCAACTCTATCGCTCGATTAACACCCTAAGTGCAAAAGTGTTAATTATGGCGTTAATTTTGCTACATAACAGATGATTGGAATAATGTAAATATAACGTGAATGCAGAAGGTAAATTCCGCACTCATCACTAGAGCGTTAAAGGCAATCTGTCACGACGTTGATTGGTTATAGGAATAAAGGGAGTTTTATTGTTTCCAATCCCCCTTTAATTTATCGCATTGTAAAAAATCGCTGGAATCGTGTTTAGGCTATTGTTCCAGCTATTGTTCTCGTTAACCAATCCACAACGAGACAGATTGCCTTTAAGCTTGAGAAATGAAGCCTACGTGCATTTTTGAGAAAATCTTTGCGCATGTTTACCGTTCTCCGCGCCATTAAGTGCATACTGGCACGCGGGTGCTAAGTTGTTTTATCCCCAATGGCGCAAAAGCAGACGGCTCAATATCAGGGAACTGTAAAAAATAAATAAAATACGAATAATCTGATATGTTTAGAAATATCAAAGACTTTTATTTCTACATTCTTGCAAAAGAGATAATTGAAAAATTCATTCAAACACATTCACTAATAAATTCTGATATTGCATTAAGACTTTGTCAGAAAATGGTGCAAAATCTTCTGAGCGCGGCCTAGTGTCAAATGAATTTCCAATTACTTCCATGAAACAACTGATTTCCAAGACAAATCACCAGATTTTTTCAATATTCCGCGAGATGTTGCGGCGTAAAATGGTTTTCCTCCAACTGAAAGTATCCAGGCATTTGATATTGACGATGGCAATGAAGAAATAGTATCACTTTTCAAGGACATCCGCAACTGTGGCAGATCCTTTACTGCAATCCACTTCGAATCCTCCACATGATCAAAATTGGTGTATGGAAAGGAGGACATAGAGTATGATTTTCCCATTCTGTCCAACGCATAAACAGTTTTCTTTTCACCATCAACACCCATCACTGCCGATACATAGGGGATGCTTTTCCATGAAGCACTGTCATTTCTTTGCGAATAACAAACGACACTATTTTTACTCCTGTCGATCTTCTTGTGGTTGCAGAAAATGAATTGCCCATTTGCCTCGTCATAAACCATGCTGAATTCAGGAGGCGGTAACCTGACTGACGTGACGGTTACATCTCTACCTTGGTCAATCTTACACTTGAAGGGTATCAGCTTCTCCAAAGTCGAATTCACAGTTCCGCTGAACTTTCTCAAGTTGTTGCGGTACGAGAAATCGACGATTATGTTTCCAATAAAATTCTCACCTCTTGATATAGCAATGGGAATCTTTACTTTAAGCACAACAGAGAGCTGCTGGCTGTTCAGTAGCCACAATGTATCAGTTTGAATCATGATAAAACCATGTCCGGTCTTGTTTCTTGATGGCTCAAGACTGAAACGATTTTGGTTCTCAAATGCCAATGATTTGAACTCAAGGAATTCACTATTGAAGTAAATCATTATACTTACTGCATAGGCATTTGAATGACTTGCTACAGCCAAGTGAGAAACTGACAGATTCAAGTGGAGATAACTGTTTTCAACAAACTGTTGTAAGTTTTCGTTTGTGACATTGAATTGGAGAATGCTTCTGTCTGGCTGTAGCCTTTTGATTGTAAGAGGCTCTGCATATGCAAGGATTCCATAACGACTCTCTAGGGTAATGACATAACGTCGGTCTCCTGTTGGAAGTTCGGCATCTAAAATCTGCCGAGAGAGTAGAATAAAGTTAAATACAAAACACATAAAAGCTGTGTCAAAAAGTCTATTGCTAGCAAGTGTCGCAATGCAAATTTCATGGAATATCGAGATGTATGGTAAATAAAGATATTTTGGAAGAGGCCTAAATCAGAAGCACACGTGGAAGGGACAGGTTTACAAATGAATTACTGCCAGGGGGTTACAACCAAAAAAGATTACCTTTCCAGTAAAATCGACTGTAAATGAGTAATAATTCTCCTCCTTTATATGAAACTCAGTGAACGTCGCACTATCAATCTTTCTCTTTTGGTCTGTTGATGCATTCACTTCACCGCTGTTTTTTACAAGTGTTCCATTATCAAGTGTGGTAGACGCATTCACTCTTTTAAAGTGGACCTGTTCAATATTTGTTGCAAGGCTGTTGTTATTGGCCGCGATTGATATGCCTACAGTTAAGTTCTCCTTGATTGTCCCAAAAGTATTTATTGATCCTTTGTAGTTGTCATTTATTTGCTGACTCCTTGATGGCCATTGGACACTCAAAAAGCTCCTTGTTATTGAACAGCCATATAATTCAATTCTCATGCAGTTAACGCCAATTGCTGATATTCTTGCTGTTGGCACAACCCTGATAAATCTTGTTTTCATGTTACGGAACCAGTTCACTCTCGTCTCCAACATATCCACTTTTCGTACTCCAAGAAATTCTTCAACCAAGTTTTGGTCAGTTTTATAAAATTGCCAGTTCTCGCCATTTTCGCTGTATTCAATTTTGAATTTGGTAATGCCATGATCAAAAACAATGCCATGTCCTTGAATTGCAATGCCAGATATGAGCTTGGTTATTCCAATGTCTACCTGCAAATAATCCGATACTGGCACATTTCCTTGTGAACACCACCCGTTTGTGTTAAGGTGTAACCTAGCTTGAAATGGCCTATGGTACAAGTCGTTTATCCAAGTCGTCCTTGCATAAAACCTAGAGTCTGGTATTTTTCTTGTTCGTACCCCAAGTTCATTTGAACAATCATTTATCCCATTACGGTCAACAAAGCTGTTAATGACAACTTCAATCGTTGAGCCTCCTCCACCACCAAGCCTGTTCAGAGACTTTTCCCAACTTTTTCTCTGCTGCCCTGTATATCCAATATAGGCCAACGATGAACGCGTTTTTGGAACAGGTGTGGTAGCAAATGTTGCAGAAACACCGACTTTTTGCAATGCTAGAGCAAGGTTGGCGTTTAAATTAGCTGCATCCTTTACTGTCAAGAAAAGAATCTTACCAGCCGTTAGGCTATTCAGAAAGTTTGCTAAGTCATCTCTGGGGCCTGAGAAGCCAAGAACGTCATAAGCTTTGCTGTGCTCAAACAGGCCACTTCTGTAGTCAAAGATAACAACATTGATACCCCGTGTGCTAGGGCTGTACTGACGGCCATTTACAATAACATGCCCTTTGGAAGCTTGACAAGTAGATGAAGCAGGCATGTCATCACAGGACTCCGATATGACTTTTACTTTCAGAACATCTAGAATGGAAAAACTGTTCTTCTAATTGGGTAGCTTGCAGACACTGTCAAGAATTCTAGAAAGGAGCCTACCAGAGGACTGCAAGAATAGCCAACGTTGGTGCACAACAAAGTTCTGTTTGTGATTAATTTCAAGTTAATATCATCTTAAACGATTTACATTTGTTAGAAATAAAGCAAATGCCGACAGATGAAGTTTTACGTTAACCTAAAGTAAATTCCAACCCTCTTAGGTGACTAGCCCTCCTAGGTTGGCAAGCTCTTCTTCACATAAAATGCAGCTAACATCTTTGCTGTCACAAGGTCGACCAAATCAACATGGCCACGTACCTGAGAATATCACTCGACCAGGCCATGTTGACCAAAAACTGCATTTATGCGCATAATTTCATTCGAGAGGTAAAAAGTTAGGCATAGGCGCTGGGCTAGCTTTTCCGAAGTTAAGTTAATTTAAATTCATAAGAGATATAAACGATAAACATATAAGTTTAGGAAAAGACTGCGTGATACATAATGACATTTTGAAATACCTTTGTCGTCGTAAAAGTAGAACCTCAGTCTGTCCTCATTAATGCAGCTATTGAGCAGAACAAGTTCGTTGTTGACGGGAGGAGAAAGAGCGACGCTTGCTGGCTGCACACATTGGCTTACTCCGTAATGTAAAAGTGAATGCTCATCGCCGTACATTGGCTGTGCTGATCTACAATCATCAGTCAAGCGAATGTAAGAGCTCGAGAAAATAACACATTTTCCGGTTTCCACATGTCGCAAAAGCTTATCATTTACGTATTCAAAGCGATCGCAAGCAACTTTGTTACTCAGCCTGACAATACTGTGATTCAAGTCGTAAACCCAACATAGTCCGCCAATATGCCGAATGATAAAATAGACTGTCTCTCTAAAATAGTATTTATTGGTGTTTTTATCACAGCCTGTTTTCAAAACAACCCCAGTGTTTGCAATAGGATCAGCGCCTTCATCTGCAGGATGTAGACACTTGTTGGAACTACGATGGCTAATTACACGATTGTTATGATCATACTGAAATAAACTGCTTGTGCCACTGCATTGACTGGTCAAGGATAAAAAGGTCCCATCACTCGTTGAATTGACAGAAACGCATTTCTTTGTTGGTATGTGGATGAGTCGAGCTCCTTCTTGCCACTCGAACTTCTCACGACAAACCCGACCGTAAAACAGAACCTGACGTATTCCATCATATTCCAGGCACCTTCCATTGTAGTGTCGAATGTAATAAGCATTTGTTACATGAAATTCTCTGCTTGCAACGATGTGACATTGTAGCATCAGCAATAATGCCTGTGCAAACATGATTGCTACCCGCATTGCCATGCTCAGTTGGAATAAATGCAAGTTTCTCGAAACAAATAACAGCATTCAACAAGTTTTAAATATTAATTGCCTTACATCCTGTCATCAGATACAATGCCTGCTTTAGGAAATAACAAAGACAAAGTCGACCCGACAGGTGATATTATCAAAGCTTCATTTGGTACTTGTATTCATTTGGTATCTGGAAGATTATTAAGAAGAAACTGAGGAGGGACAGCTCTTGCAGGTGCTGAGATTGTGCTATATAATAGGATGATTGTTTGAAATATTCTCAGTAATACAGAGACATAGTGGCCCTTCACATGATACAAGATAACGCTGATTGAGTTTTATCTTAAAAGAAAGAAAATCCTTTGTTTTTGGTTGGAATTTTGCAGAGAAAATTGTCAAGTCTGCTTTGAAACCTTAGTAAAAGTAGGCCCAGTATGGAAAAAAGAATCAAAACCTGGGGTGAAACTATATCCAGGTTTACTTTGATCATTACTACTTTTCCAAAAATTCCTTATAAATTGTGTTTTTTTCTAGAAACAAAGTTTCGTTATTGCAAATCTTATTGGGAATGTTTTGTTTCCAATTAAAAGCTAATGGCTTTCGTCCAACTTTCCAACAAATTGCTCAGCCATATACCTTATAAAAAAATCTTTTAAAACACGCACGGATCTTAGTTTGACGAAAAATCCATAAAATAAGTGTGGATCTGAGTCGTTTTGAAGTGTAGAAAATTAAACTTTGCATCTATAATTGATAAAGCATAGATTAGCAAACTGGGGATGGTATTTATAATCCCTGTCAAAAGTGTCTTTACACTAACTTCAGTTTTCAAGGGCGAAGAGAGCCATCTAATCTCCTCATCTGAATAATGGTCGCTTCTATTCTTTACAAGCATTTTTGCAAGCGATTTAGCATCAAATCCTCTGCAAGTGAAAGATAAGGAACAAGGGACCCAATTCTAATAGAAACAGCACAAAATTGCTAAAGAAAGTTTTGTCTCCATGGCGATACGCTCAAAACTGTTTTCATGTTTTAACTTCTTTTACTTTCTGAGTGTTGTTAACATCAAAGTCTTAAATGCTGACGCGCTTTGTAATTCTCGTTTTGTTAAACTCCAATCAGGTAAATTTTCCCTATTGACTTAGCAACGACTTTACTTAGAAAAAGGGACGGGGATACAGGGGCAGAGTTCAATCAACCTACCAAAAAAATTGGTATTATGCGGTAGCATGTTGTGCTGCTTTACTTTCGGAAGAATATTAAAATCAAGAATAACCACCCGTTAAAAACTAAGGAAATGGAACAATCAATGCAAAAATATGCAAAAATAAGCGTATTAATTACTGACAATTTTAGTCATAAGATTTTTATCAGTCAGGACACTCATCATAATACAGAAATTTTCCTACAGCGAACTCCTTGATCTTCAAATCGTTCAATGTCTCTCGGCGCTCTTTCGTCCCACCTTTGATAAAGAGAAAGTCTTTATTTTTCGATGCAGCGATTAGTGCTTCTCTATCATTCGATATATTCGAAGCCTTTACATCAGAGATGGAGGTGCCTTTCAGTTTCACTGTGTCAACTTCAAGTTCGAGCAGTCTAGCAATGGTTGGCATCGCAAGGGCATGTCGAACCCCACTCTGGCGAAATATTCTTGCCAGCTTTTTATAATCATGCAAGTGACGCCTTGGTAGATATAAGGCGGACTTGTTCACCCAGTAAGATTTGTAAACGCCTTCTCCATTCCACAGCCACGCATTCAATGCATTACTAACATCCCATTCTGGTTTCCAGTCACCTTCAGTCAGTTTACTTTTTCTCAAATCGCTGTAGCTCCTTTCAACTAAATACTCGAAAGCCTTTTCAAGTGCTCGCATCCCCCACGGACTGGCCCACCACTCCCAACTATCTGGTGTACCAGAGTAAAGTGCCGGTCCATTTATTACATCAATATCTTGCCAGATTCTATTCTTATCATACAATAAAAGATTCCAGTAATTGAGCAATACTTCTTCAGCGATGAAAAGGTATCCATTATAGTCTGTGTATTTTTCAACTATACTCGATAAACAGTCATACAAAAATGCGCCGTTACGAGTGTTTACGACATGAATACTGATGTTACTGCTATTCGCTAATAACGACGGGCCGCAAAACACTCGATTTCTAAAGCCACCTTTATATAAAAGTTCAAAAAGGGGAATACTTTCATAAGCATAAGTTGTTGACAGCGCAACTACGAGCAAAATATCCTTTAAATGGTCTTTCGGACATCGTAAGCTCCTTAGATTTTCTTGATTTTTAAAAACCGTATTAAATATCCGTGGCATTGGCTGAAGCTTGTGGTGGTCTGTTTCGCTCATGTTGGCTCGTTTTGGTCGGTAATTCTCTTTTTCGTACTTCAGATACTCTGTAAAATAAATGGATCGGATATATAAATAATCAGGACATGCGCCAATTACGAAATTATAAAATTAGCTATCGTAACTTAAGTTAACCATTGAAAGGTCAAAATGATTTTTCAAAAACGTTCACAATGGCAATAGAGACGGACTTCGTTCTTCACTGGGTTTTTTTGGTTTTTGGCACTGGTCCCATTACTCCGTTTTCATATTAAAAAGGAGGTGAATGAATCTGTTTTTGATTTTGCGTTTGCAACTTTGCGTTATTAGATTCCAAACCGGAGTCAATTGAAAACAATGTTCAACGTGGAGTCACTCGAAAAAGGAGTCATTTTAAAACGAATCGTTTTATTTGGAAAAGCGAAAACGAAGTCATTCGTAAACGGAGTCATTCATTTTCAATTTCAAAACGAGCCCAAAACAAAGGGTAAGAAACGGACGAAAACGGAGTGACGGGATCTCTTTGTTTTCATTCTGATGAAAGAAAGTCGGCTATGGGAACTGTCCAAGAAAATAAAAAAATTGATTGATCTGAAAACAGAGAAATACGAAAGCGGAGTAATGGAAACAGGAACTTTAGTTCAAGCAGACCCACCAAAGATATGTTACAAGATACACAAGGTTTGTGGATCAAAATGCGATATACAAAAACATCATTTTACACTCATCACTTTTGAAACTCAAAGTGTCTTGTTCTACTACCCAGCGTGGTAATACTGAACGCGGAAAGAACATCCTTTCGTTTTTACTATTCAAATACAACTGCTCTTTAGCGAAATATCCTTTGCAAGGAAATCTTCCCAAAGGAATCTTTTCCAGGATGGAGCGGCGAATTTATTATCTCTATCCAAAGTGGGTCAGTTGAAGGAAACGAGAAGAGAAAAGGACAAGTGAACTGCCAAGATAGTTATAAGAAAACTAATGGTTTTTTTATTAGAAAAGGACATTCTAATGTCAATGGATTTCTAAGCAACAAAATTCACATGTCAGTGATAAAGACTTTTTGATTCTGCAGTTTAGCAGTATGCATAAATATACATCAAAGCTTGGTAGGTTGGTAAAAAGGTATTAACAATACACAGGTATAACGATCCAAATAATACTGAAAATATCTTGCTGTTATTCGGCTTTCCCCAGCACTGCTGTGTAAATGCAGCCAGTTTGCCATAAGGAATGCTTTAAGGCATCTATAACCGTGCAACTGACATAATTCTATTTATCAATCGGCAATTTGGTGCAGGTATATTGCATTCTGCACTGCTTGCACGCAAAGGTTATACATAAAACGGAGGACTAGCAATTAACTTGCACTGAGAACTGCATTTTGAAAATGCCTAAGGTAGCTTCAGGTGGTAAGAGTACACAAGAATGGTTGAATTATTTGCTCGCACCGCATTGCTTGAATCAACTTCACAGTTGGTCATAGCGACGGCATCAAGGGCATGTTTTGAAAAATATCATAGGTTTTTCTAAGCATTTATAATGCTGATTCATATCACTCTGTTACTAAAAGGTAAACACAAGAGAGGCGTTTTTCTCATTTCGTTACTGGCTAGAAATCAAGTAAAGCATCTCGATTTGCCTCGATTCTCAGTTCAATCCCATTCTTAATTGTTGCTCACTCTCTATTAAACTATTGATAACATACTTATGACGAAAATTCCAAAGAAAAAACAACTTGTTTACTTGAATCAAGTAGCTTTGAATTAAGCTAACAAGGATCGAGCGAGCAGGGAGGAGGCAAATACTCGGCTTTACAAAACCTGAGCCTTTCAATACTTGATATCGGAAATATATCTAAGCACTTGAGTATCTAGCTTTTAGCACATGCAGTTCGCTCAATCAATGATATAAACGATTTTACGTTGTACGAAGGATGCAAAATTCAACAACTACATGCAATTCAATTCAACAGCATGCAAAAGAAATGCAATTCAATAGCGGTGCGGTTTAGCACCAGCTAGAGGACTTACGTTCATTTAAACTCTTGACGTAGAAAATGAATTGTTTTGCTTCTAATTTTCTTGTGAAAAGAATGGAACAAATTTTTCATTGACTGTTGTTGTTTTGGTACAAGATATGCAAGAGATAAATCATTATTTTGGTTTTGTCTGGTATAGCAAATACCTACAATCCCTGCCATGGTGGATTGAGACCCATAACATCTTGAGTCTTATATTCTTCGATTTCTTTTTCCGATAACTGCTGTTTTCGAATCTTCCTTCCCTGAACAATGTTGGTAGCTTAGGCAAACATGACGTCGACTTTCAAAAGTGACGCAATTGTTCAGAGACTTTGGCAATGACTGGATTTTTGCCTTCACATTTTGGCACTGTCCTAGCCTCGGATGCACGAAAATATTTATAACCTCTTCTCTGTTAATATTTTGTATAGGGCTATAGCTATGTGAACTGTGCATTTTAAAATTAAGAAGGATAGAGAACAGAATCTACTTTTTAGAAATTTCATCTGGTGTGGAATCCACCTATTTGTCTAGATACAATCTTAAAAATATTTCTGACTTCAATCTACAAGAAACGGCCCATATTCCACGTAATCTTTCTGCAATTATTAAAACAGTTCTATCCAAGGTGGGTATCACAACCATGAAAATATATTAGAGCTGTTAAAGATTTTACTTTGAATATGCACGATGCACATTTTGACAAAAGATACTAAAATCAAGTATCAAGGCGATATTTTTTATCAGACTTCAGCAGATATTATTATTGAAGAATATTGTATTGCCGAAATACGTCCTTTACTTTCTTGCACAAGAAAATCTTTCTCCTTCTAGCAGTGTCAATATCTAACGAAAATCTGATGAAGAAATCGGAACGTGTAGCAGGCCTAAAAGGGTAAATAGAAGAAGGAGATATTTCTGAGTTCAACAGCCTATAAAGACTCTGACAAGGTAGATAAGATGCAAGGCAACGAGGTTGGACTCAGAAAATCTAAGTTCACCTAAAACTGAATTGTACGTGTTCAACTAACCTTTAAAAAGCATTGCCAGAGTTACGACAAAGGACACGCTGGTGATAATGTAAAAGAGGATTATGCCTCCACGCAAGTTAAAGTAACCGATTCGCATCGCATTTTACTATGACATCCGACAGCCTGGCAATTGTATTAAACAATCGATTTCTGTGATAATTCATTTCTCCATAATTTACAGCGATTCTTCCATTGGCATCAATTTATTCTCATGTTTCGTTCGTTAAAAATCTTTTATTACGATAAACAAGAAGGTAGCACCTTTCAAAGATCAAAGGTATGTCTCAACAAACCGGTGACTCACCTGTAGTTCTTGATTGAACTGATCTGATCGTACAGGTACAGGTTCTCCGCGTAAAAACTTAGGCCAATCGAACTGATGGTTTGAATACAGTCTCCGACACCGTTTTTCACGTCTTTTAGACTGTAATCATGCACTGTTCGTGATGATTTTTGCTTCAAAGTGGGGATATTAGTAATATTCAGTTCTGGTAACTGACGATGGTCATTGAGTTATCGAAACATGTTTGTGGTTTATTAACGTATTTTTAACTAAAAGATAACATTTCATTGGTTTTTTTAATGTTTAAGCTGAAAGCTGATTTTTCACTTCCAAACACTTACTATGTAGAAGTAAAAAGTACTGACGATACAGGTTTTTAACAAGGGAAATAATTTGGATTAACACCTTTATGCTCTAGCATAACAGTGTTTCGACTTGGTTAGAATTCCACATAAAGAAATGCAGCAGAAAAGCGCTGCTAAAGGGATTTTAAAATTTCTGATCTGGGGTAAAAAATTGAATTCGTGAAAGAATCAAAAATAAATGACACTTCTTGTATTTTCGGTATCAATTTGAATAGACTCTCTAGAAAAGCCCGAGGCAAAAATTTGAAAATTTCCGAAGCTACGACAATGAAGCATGTGTTTACCGAATGAAAATGAGGTTTATCCGTCGTATGCTTGAATGTTACTGCAAATTGCATAGGCGTCTGACCATCTTTTATAATAAAGTAGAAGCACTGACTATAAGTGGTGAAATGAAAAAGCTATTCCCCCAGCCCCAGTACAAACAATACCGTATCCATTATGTACCAGATTCTCTGATCCAATTAGTTACCAACAAATGTTTACTTCACACAATATTGGTTTGGTTCATAAACCTCTTTATAGTTTCCTCAGTTACACGCTTCGCACTGCGTAACATAAAATATTGTTCACACAGCCACTGCGCGAAATCTGATATTCAAGACGAGGTTCTGGAGTGACAGTATATCGAGCGTGCTGCTGGTTTTTTACACGAAACTGCAATATTAATTAGAGACCAGGGTGAAAGCACTTCACAAATGCGATACGCGAGGCATCAGATCGCTCTGCTATCTGAGGATGACGCTAACACTAACTGGCACTTACTGGAAATTTTTTGCAAGCATTTTCTCCAATGCCAAGCTGTCCAAACGAAAAAAACTGCTCAACAGGAAACAATTGAAGTTATACGAACCTAGGCGCTTGGCAAGTCCTTGGCTGGTTTGAGATATTGCTTGAAATTGATAGAGAATCTGTTTTAGTTTCTTTGCTAAAAATAACGCAAATTGCCAACTGGCTACCTTTCAGTCCATTTTAGAAAGAACTACCCCGGAATCATGATGTCATAGGAAAAAGCCTTTGAAAACAAGCAGCAACTACGGGCCGAGTACAGCATGATGGTCTTTTTTAGCCGGGTTCTAAAACTGTAGCTTAAACTTTAAAAGAGGTTTACAGTATAAATGCAACAGATAAATCTTATAGATCATGAATTGCTTGGTTTTGTTACCTATCCATAGCGACAATGCTTTGCCAAAATTTCCCAAGAACGAATTTCCAGTCTTTGTCGAGTCTACCTTATCTGAGTCTAGCTTAGCAGATGACTTTAGCATTTTCAGTTTAAGGATTGGTAAAGTAAAAGTAAACGACCTCTGTAGGAAAATGAAACAACGAGACAGGGTAGCTTTAGGAAAATATAACAATGCGACCGGGTACCTAGTTCCTTTCATTGCCACCTTTAGGCTTCCTAAAGTTCTTCTGGGGCTCCAAGCCCTTCTCACATCACAGAATCGTGTTCAAATCATTTTTCTTCAGTTCAAGAGATAATCATCACAAAAGCTGAAGATAGATGAATATCCTCTTGCTGTGATCTAGTAGCGGATTTGGGCGTCCTGACGAAATCTTTCCAATACGTTGGATGTTTCAAGTAGTATAGTATAAAATCGACCGCAGAGTTTGAAAGTCAAAATGACTGGTTGCTGGTGAGATTTGCTAAAACATGTCACGCTTCAATTGGTCAGGTAATGGCGCATCAAAACCATTGACCTGCTATGGCTAGTTTGAGCCACGAACGGCATTATTTCAGAGCAAACTGCAACAGTTCAACTTTCAACTGAAAACAAACAACGTCGTAAAACTGGCCTAAAAATTTGATACAAGCAGGAAAAGTAGCACCTGCTTTTACACAAGCATGTGATATGGACGAGCAACAGCAAGCAAGAACAGCAAGGATACATATCGCTCTACTGTAGTCGATCAGTGATATCAAAAGCTAATGATTTTAAACAGAGTAAGTTTACACAAGGCAACCTACCAGCTTGTAGTTTATCGAAAAGGCTGTAGGCCGGTACCTTAACATTACAGACAGCTTTTATCTTACCCTATTGGCGATCTCTCGCTACAAAAAGGTCACAAATTCATAAGGCTTTGAAGGGTATGGTTTTGGAATGTACAGCGAAATCCTACCAAGACAAACAAATTTTCCAAACGAAAATATGGATACGGTAGACTTGTGCACTTTTCCAAAGGTGTGGAGGCGATGAGTCAAACTATCATGATAAAGGTGTAAGAAGGAAACAAGAAGCTACACTAGTATTGGATGGGTTTTATGCTTAATCTTGGATGGATACCAATCATATTTGTATTGGCAACAGTTCTTGCGTATTTTGTCCCATACTTCGTGGCCATTTATACCGGTCATGTTTATCCGATCTTTCCAGCTATAAGCGACTCGGGAATATTGGAACCGGAGAGTCTTGTTTTTCGAGAGATGATGAACATTTCTGGATTTCTCGCTATTGCAACGACGTTTGTGCGATTTTTACAGCTCCAGTTAGTGATTTCCTCGATTCATTCAAGGATCCCAAAGCAGACAGAAAAACTGAACCTATTTTCAATGATAACTGGGATAGTTGGCGGGTTTGCCGTAACCTTCGTAGGCAATTTTTCGGCGAAAAAGGTTTGTTCTTTTCCCTTTTTCTGGTTAAAAAATGAAACGGTAATCTTTGACAAAAAAGAAAAATTTTTAAGCCACTATATCAGGGCCTAGCATGTCTTTCTACGTTCACTATTACATTTGACCCTTCAAAAGTGAATATAGTGGTTGCCAGTATTCCATAAAATGTTTTGATACTATGTCTGGCTCAAAAGGTTAATTACAAAAAAGCTTCTAGCCTTAATAATTACTGATTATGACATCAGACGAGCAAGGAAATTTACTGCAAAGAAATGAGAAACACATTTGAGCTAATGAAGCAAAAATAATCCATCAAGTTCAACGATGGTTAATATTCTTGCAGCAACTTCGGGAGTGTTGCTGCACTCCTTTCTTTTAATTTTCTTCATTAACATTTCTTTCACAGCAGTTTTTATTTCGTCATTGATTAATAAATATACATTGATATAAGTAATAAAGATGGATAGAATTTTCAATCATTGATTTCCAGGAACACGCTTTTGCGCCTGTATCGGAATATTCCATTCACAACGTGGCTGCCGTGATTGTGTTTAGCAGCGGTCTATTGTATTGTGCAACACAATCAGCGATATCCTTCAAGATGAGGAGATGGAGAGTCAACTCTATTCAAATGTGTCTGCTCAGAACAGCAATTACTTTCTCAGTCATGATAAACTTTACTTTGTTTGTCATATTTAGTAGATGGGCCAACTATAAATACGATGTACTACATACAGGACATAGTCACGTTAGGAAACTGGGATGGAGGCCAGGACAAAATGGCTACACTCAGCATCTAGTAAGCAGTATCACAGAGTGGTTGATGTGCCTCAGCCTGGTATTTTATAGCTTGACGTTCGTCAAAGAATTGAATTTCGTCAGAATAACGACAGACTTCTCAGAGGAATATACTATCGAAGATATGATCGACAGCGAAAATCACATACCTGGTGATTAGGGAGAACTTTAGTGGAACCATTTCTCTTTTAACTTAGACGCCATAGGCATAATATCGGTACGATACCGGCATGATACTTAACTATAAGATCAACCTGACGTGATACTTACAGTAAGTTTTGACAATGTCCAGCCACAATACCTTTAAAATCTTATTACAAATTCAAAGAAAATGTTAAATTAAAAAGCAAACGACATTGTCAAAAAAGGAAAAGGAGCGCGAGGGAATATTTATCTAATACTGCTGATGTGACATAACTGCATATACACGTTGGAAGATTTTACATTGGAATATCCTTTTAAGCACATCTTTCAATAAGTCTCCAGACAGCAAACAAACGACCGATTTCAAATCTGGCTTTCTGTGTTCAACGTTAATACAACGAAAACTTCCCTGCAAAGGACAACGATTCTTGTCCCGTTTGTGTCCGACTTATGGAGATTTCCTTGCTACAAAACACCCTAGGGTAAGGAAGCTTTAGCCACCTTAGGATAAAGGATAAATCAACAACTATTCAGAAAAATAAAAAACATTAAACCTTTTTAATTTGTTCCTTTTTTACTATGTTTGCAACCTTTTTTCAGCCTAAAGTTTTTGTTGTCTTGACCTGAATGATTGAAGCTTGCAATATTTTTAGGAAAATTGAAATATCAGCTGGTCAATGGCGCCCAACACATTTTCATTCCGATACAATCTCTTAACGCAAAGATCCTTTCGATGTCATGTTGTCGTGCCTATCAAAATTGTGAATTGGAGGTCATGTGATATAATGATTCAATGATCTTGGTGGGGGTTCCTTGAACATCCAATGAAAGAGGCCAGTACCGTCGGTACCAGAGCATCCTCCTACGTGCATTCTGGCCCAATCAGAGAAGCTTTAGTAGAATGTTCTACATATCAGGAGTAAAGACGAACGCGAAAACAAGAGAGATTACGGTCTTCCAAAAACACCAGAATATATCTATCTTGACATATGCTTTTGCATATGCTTAATATATAGTACACTTATGCCATTGACACTCCTAAGTTCGAATTACAAAGTTTTGAATGTACTGTCAAAAAGCGGAAAGCTTGTGTCATCAATTTTTACAGATAAAGATCAAAATGATCTCGGCATTAGATTTTGATCCGATTCCACTCAAACAATTTTTACCTCCGTTATTCCCATTCTCTCAAAGCTTTAAAGAAACCAATTAAACTTCGAATGAAATCTTACTTGGGCTTTTATAGGAACTTGCTGTCGAATCTAGAATTTTCGAATTTCGAATTGAGATTCTTTGAGCTCTTGATGAAGGAACTAGTAGCCTTCTTATCGACTCTTTTGAGGTCCAAATCTTGATTCCTGTCAAATGCTCTTCTTTCTGAAGGACCGTCGCCCTAAAAAAATGCAAAAAAGACAATACCGAGCTTAAAATTATATGAATAGAGTCTTGATATGGCATTACGTTTTGATCGAAATTCAGTCTCGAGTCTTATCTTTTTGTTTGTTCTCAACCCAAGAGACCAATCGATTTGGTCATAAATAAAGCAACAATCAAACATTCAATTTTCTCTCCCACGCTACTTCTGATCCCATTTTGAATATAAATTGTCAGCAAAAAATACCAAAGTAAGCTATGTTTCCGCTTTCCTTGCTATCATCACTCTATTTTTATTTGTAACCGTGTTCACTGGCAAAAGCAAAATAAAGGCATTTTAAACATATTTTTACCTTTTTCTTTTTCCTCTCTTCATGATGCAGCTCCATCAATGAAGCTGATCGATGCTGCTTCTAAAGAGAAATTTAATAAATTGTATAAATTAGAATTGATGCCAAAATTAGAATTGAAAGGGGAAATTCCAGAATTATTAATTTGGAATTGAAAAGAAGAAAAATCTCAGAATCAATCAAGTTTTTTCCAGAACATGACCTTAAACTTTATTTCTTTTTCTGCATTTCCTGAAATCCTTGTTCGAAGTAAAGTGAAATACTCTACATTTGCATGGAAACTGATATATTTTGATATGATGATAGTTTGATATCAAAATGCTAGGTAACTAACCAACTCTGATTTTGTCATAGCATACTATAGATCCCACAAATGAATGATTCCTGTCCCCAAAAAGCATTGAACAGAGACTGCTTTATATTGCTATAATACATACATTGTGTTCCTGGATTCTCGCAATTGTCTCCAAATCCTTTTTTATAGGAGCAGGTGCCTCTTCTTTTGTTACTTTTTCTTTTTTATCCAGCTTTTCCTAGTAGATAAATAAAATGTATATCTCTCACAAAAAAGAGACTAGAAATAAAAATGCAAAAACCATGTGATACACAATGGATAGTTTTGAAAAATACCATATAAAACTAAGCACAAACACAAGTTGTAAACATTTTTAATAATTTTTAAAAAGGGTAATATAGAATACAAACTTTATAGGGACAATGAATTTGAAGGGTTTAGTGACAGCCAAGTAACACAGCTGCCGTATGGTCAAAATCAAGAAAGGCTATTAAAGTCATAAGAAATTAAGTGTCATGCTTTAGCCCACCTGTTTATTGGGAGGAAGCATTAAAACCTCCAGAGTATTCTCAAGTTTATGAGTGCTTTCTGAAATTTTGAGAGTGATCAATAGAATAGAAAGGAGTGCTACGAAAAGAAAAATAGTGCAATTCATTTAAATGAGAATACTCACAGAACAGGAAAGTGGAAAGGACCAGGAAAGTTATTGTGGTGTCTTTATGTCATCAAAAAACTTAGCTGTATTTGAGAGTTTTGGTTCTATATTTTGAAAGACACAAGCTATTTTATAATAAGCCTTACTGCCATAGTTTTTATCATTTTATTAGAAATTAACAAACCCTGGTATGTCTAAAAATGCCAACCAAAGTGAACTACCTTCAATTTTCTTTGTCTGTCAGCAGGAGTGTCTGTCCACACTGAGCGATCACCTTCTGTCGAATTTAATGTCTTTTTCTTGAAAGTCCGTGCAACAATACCTAGCAAATGTTTACATCTTCTTAAGGCAAAAACAATTAAAATTAATTGTGTAAAAAGGTAATACAAGTCTGTTTTATCCAGAGCAAAATTCTTGCATTAACGATTCTTGCATTGAGTATTTATTGTAAATGATATATGAATCCAAAAGGTTTGACACAGCACAAGATTTATTGCAATCTTTTGCAAAAGGATTGCTGGTTCAAAGGAATCATTGGCTTTAATAGTACCAATATTTGCTCCAAGCTCAGGTGGAAGCTCTGTCATCCATTGCTCTCGTTTTAGTGCAGCTTCTTTTCCCTAAAAATTGTGAACATAGGATATTCTTTATCTGATATTTCTTAGGTATAAAACTATTTTTCAAATAAAATGAATTGAGGCATAGAAATATAAACAAATGATTTGAATCAAATCAAATTATGATGTCTCATTCTTACCTTGCCGCTCAACTTATCTTTCATAGCTGTGGCTCTTGCTTCAATTTCATGTCTTTTCAGAGCACTTTCATCCTAAGGAGAATAAATTGAAATAATAAAGAAAACAAACTTCTAAAGATAATCTCTGGGCAAAACTAGAAAAATAATATCATCATTTTCTGTAACTGGGATGGAAAGTGGCTAATTTTGTGGTGATCTGTATCTTACAAGTAGCAGGGTACAATGGGAAAATATATTATACAAATTCATTATCCAAAGAGTAGTGGGTACCATTCAAACCATTTCAAATGAGGACAGAGCAAGGAGACTTTGGAGAAGTCATCAGAATTAAAGGTACCTATATTAACTTACATAGGCATCATCTTCACCAGGGACTGGTCCAATAAAATCATCATCTTCTTCTACAAAAAGAACAAAAAGTAAGTTAATACTTTATTAGAAATAAGATACTCATATGGAGGGGTATGAATATGCAAAAGTGTGCACATGTTAGCAGAATACCATACAAAATATTAGTAGCATATACTCCAAGGAAAATGCTTAATCTGAATTAAAACCTCCAGGGAGATACTAAAAGTTGTCAATATGATGTTTCCTTTGTAAACACAAATGGTAATACATTTTCTTACTATAGAGCTTGGTCTGCCTCACAGTTTGTATTGCTTTTGAACTTTAAGTTTTCGAGGAAATGAAAAGTTTTGCTCTACTGCAGCTGTACTCCTCCCCTTGTTAAAAAAGTAGTGTCAGAAAAAATAGCATCCAGCCATTTATGTGTATGAATCGCCCTAGATATATGAATACACTTTCTCTGGAAAATGCATGCTTGTTCCAGTAGTCATAAACTGCTTTTTATTTGTCCCAGGGCATAGGAGCAAAACCTGAAGTTTAGGTCTTGCAAAGCTAGGCAAGACAAAAATAGGGAGGGAAACTGGTTCCTTGAAGAAAAGGTACTCCACAAGTTCTAAAATGGACACCACTAAAACAATGTTCACTTTGCCAAAAAGGACATGCTTTCTTGATTACAGCATCCCTTAGCATTACTGTTAATGTGCAGGAAGCTGGTTATTTTTCAGTTTGTTTTATTGAGATCTCTTTTTTCTTGAGCTATTAGCTGGGTTCCAGATACCTGATCAAAAGTATATGAAGTAAGCAAGGCTCTGGCTATAATTAGATACCTTGGATGTGAAATTCATTTGCAGGGTCTTTGCATTCGGAGTCAAAATTTTCCTGGATGTATTTAGGATGTTCCTTGGAAATTCAGTAAAATGAATGGGTGCAAAGGTAATTTTATAACAAGGTAGAGGCAGAGGGTCTACATATTTCAAGAAAAACAATGTTACAATTGACAATAGCAAAACAGAACAATTTAAATGTTTATCAACAAAACTTTTTTACTATATTAACTTGCTTGCGTGGATTGTTGTTTGTTCTCGTTTATTAAATTTCTGTTGCCAGCAGTCCATTGGAGTCTGTCAAGCAGCCTTTTACCATGGTCTTTCCAATATTTATTTACAAACTCTTTTTGCATGATGACACAAAGGATTTATTTTTTTTGCTAAAAACCATACAAATTTCACTCCTGGCACTGAGAAATTTGCTTTAAGGATTGCTGGCTTGCTGATAATGTTAAGTTAACACTATTTCGTGGCTGCAAGCAGTAGAAAATGGCCCCTAAGGAAAAGGAGCATACCTTGCATAGCCTATAAGTTACAGAAGAAGCATCTCTAAATATATGGATGCAATAAATTGTTGGATATTTGTGTTCCCTTAACTTACATAAAAAGTATTTCTTAAAGCCAGTGTACTTGTAATATGGAAACTCTAAACATAGTTGATCAACTTTGAAAACATTAAACATAACTGGATTAGTAACAAGTTTTGTGGTTTATCAAGTAACAGATCAAGTATGGACAATCCATAAAAGTACTTTTTCTGCACAGAGAATGCCAGAGAATAAAGTTCAAATTTGCCAATTATGCATGCTTCTTGAGAAATTGTGGGCTGATTTTGCAGCAAAGGCTTTTGAAGGGTTCTTGTATAACTTGCTTTCTCTAATAATCAGAAATCTGAAGATTAGATGGTGGAATATTCTGAGGGTACTTAAGCTCAACAATAGATTCAATGCATGCGAGGAACGTATGATGAAAATTATTGTATTAGAAACAGACCTAACTTTACAGTCTGGTGAACATCTGTAAGCGCAGAACTTCGTCTGTAAGCGCATAAATCAAAGCAGTCGAGCCACAGTATTCAGCACAATCACAAACCCTTTTTTGACTGCAGAGAGGAGAAATTGATGAAATCATTCCAGCTAAGGCTAGGCGGCTACTTTTCCTGGACACTTAAGAGAGTTGAAACATGATGCAAGCTGCCAAAAGACCACAAAAGAAGCTGTAGATAAAGGGACTTTGCGAGACTGGCTATATTTAAGAAAAAATTAACTTGCATTCTGCGAAATTATAAAATTTCTGAAACACATAACAGAATGTTCCGCTTCGTTATTTAAAACGCTTAAAAACACGCCATATGGCAGTGTAATAAACGTATACAATTATACTTATACTTACCATCGTCGTCACTTTTTTCTGCTGTTCGGTTCCAACCCGGTGGTAGAGCTGGGCCAACGGACAATTTGTCCTTGATATTATCCACATCGCTATCGCTTTCCTTTTTTCCTGACAGCATATGTGGTGGAAGAGCAGGTCCAAATAGCTGTTCTTCTTTACCCTCATCTGATTCAGAATTTAATGTTGATGAGTTTTTGTCTCTTTCTGAATTTTGAGATTGGCTTTTAACATTTAATAGATGAGGGGGTAACTTAGGCCCGATATCGTCTGCCATCTTGCATACTCACAAATGAAAACAACAATCTCATTCCCGCCCAGCACTTAAAAGAGGTTAGTTCAAGATGACCCTACCTAAATCTTCAAACTCTCGAAAGCTACCAGTGATAGTGGTCACTGATCAGTGTAGTGATCAGAGAATTCATTTCCATACAGATGTCATCCTCGGTCTTAGAAAGACTACGGCAGTTAGAAGATTCAGAACAGGTAGCTATTATACGTTTTGTAATGATGCTAACTGTCCATCTTATTGAAACATATAAATGCATTGCAAGCAAACACAATCTCCTGCCAAGAATGTCAGGCATACCAAGGGGACACAGTGTTATCAAACAGAGATTTAATCTGGATGCTAGGAAACTTTTTTTTGGGAACGATTTGTCTGGGAAGATTGTAAATACTCTTACTCCAGAGTGCAAAGTATTTTTTTTGCACAGCTAATAATTTTGTGCTGCTTAGGTTTACGGCAAAACAAATTATGTTGTAAAATAGCAGCTTAAAAGCTAAAAGGGATTTTATTTTTAAATGGTATTTGTAAGCTTTATGGCGAGGCTATGTAGGGGATTGGCACAAAATTCTGTGCTGCAACTTTGCAGATTAATCTAAATTTGCAAAAATGCATAGACAGGATTTGAGGAAAAAATCATTGCAGTCTTCCTCCATAACCTTGCAGTCTGGCTCCTTGTATAGACAGCTCCAAGAATAGGTTAGACAAGCACTATAAAGACAGTATTCTACACAGACCTCAGCATGTATATATAAACTGTCATTTATAAAACAGATCATAGACAGTTAACTGTGTGTTTGTGTAAATTGACTGGCTAATGACAACTTTTTTTTCTCATTAACCATTGACAACAGGCCCATTGACCTACAGCCTTTCTTTTTATCTGTGCAGTCTCTGAAGGATTTTTCCATAGGCTTGTTTGCAGTAATCTAGTCATGTTAATGACTTTGTATTCAGGTTGTAGCTGATGGTGAGCTGTTGGTGGCCAAAATCTTACAAATATGTTTTCCAACCTGGGTTGTTGTGGTTTCTCCAATCTTGACTTTCTCCAATTCGACTTTACAGGATATAGTTAAGGTCATACAATGTGCTTCAACAGCAATCAATGAATTGTCAAAGGACTCACCATCAGAGGATGTCATCAACAGCCAAACGACGCAGTTTCTTAAGTTGTTAGATGAGACTGAAGGAAAACTAATGGAACAAATAAATTACCTAAGTCAAGTCACCACAAGTCAGCAACATGAAAGCTCCATTTACTCCGCAGAAAAAAGTTTTGATCTTGCAGTTTGGAAAACACAGTTGGTTAAAGCAAAGCTGGCTGAAATAAACAAGCTTTCCCAGAGAAATGATATGGTACACAACTCTACAATCTAACCTTAAGTCAAAACTCTGCAAATAATGATACTTTGGATAGTATTTGCAAACCAATCAGACAATCAAAGGTTATTTAGGATATTGAAGGCATTTTTTCTGTCATGCAAAATTTTGAGGGACAGTCACAAATTTAGTCCAGGTTTCATCTTAAAAGATTTTCTCATGGCAATTGCAGCCTTTGACTAACTTGTGTACAAACTTGGCTTAAATATTGGCCCTTGTGAGTTATTAATTTTCACGAAAACCAAAGTTGATCCTGATATCTATTATTTTCTACCCACTTTTAGTATTGAACTATATGTATCTTAATATATGTGCCTTCATGATTCAATGAATTAGGTCTAAATTAAGGATAATACTTTATTTGTCTTAATTTCAAATATAGCTTCTATAAGCATTAAGAAATAAATAGGAAACATTTATCATATAAATTTTGTGTTTCACAAATGTTGCATAAAATGTGTTCTAGTTTGGTCCCATGCCAAACAGCAAGATCAATAGAGAATTGGTCATGCAGATTTTTGAGGATCATCAAACAATTTTTGCAACATTACCACACATGTGAAATTGTTCACTGGTTTGGCATAGTTTGGCACTGTTCCATAAATAACATAAAATTTTCAGACAGACAGACATTTTCAGACAAATTTTGCCATGTCAGTTTTATCTGGTAAACTAATGAAATATTTAATAGTTTTGTTATACTCTTACTCACAAATGTTCAGAATTAGTATTCAATTTGAACTAGACTTATCAGCCATAAAGTATCAAGTTTTTGCAGGTCTTGGTCTTCCAGCCTCTTGAGTAATATTTTGTTATCAGCAAATTATTGTTACTATTTTTTTTAAATTCCTCAGATGTAATACTATTAATGCATGTTGGAAGATAATATGTATTTTGCTATTGAAAAAATATATAACTCTGGAAGTAGCAGCAGAGTGTATTACAAAAGTATTACATGTATTACAAAAGAAGTAGCAGCAGAGTGTGCAAAAATTCTTGTTGCTTTTCTGAAGCGTTGGACAAAGAAGTTAGTTGCTCTGGGGAATACTTTGACCTGCCTTTAAGATACTTGTAGTTTATCTCTGGGTGAACTCCTGATAGCAATACTTTCCCCTTATCAAACTTACAAAGAACCACAGCAATTTTTTCTGGGAAATCCAAATAACGTCCAACAGTTTCAATGTTAGTTTTAGCACTGTCCTCATCCATTATGAATTCACAACCTCCATTGTGATAAGCTGTGAGTATACTATCAATCCCTGGTCGATGGAATGGCTCTTCTAACTGAACTTGCACTATTCTTGCTGCAACTTCAGAATCATAGTGGAAGTCAGGATAAACTGAGCCTTTTGCCACTCCAGGATAAAATTTCAGATCACGCTCACCACAAACCTCAATATCTGTACCTTTCTCAAATTCACAAAAAGTTGAAGCAAAATAGGCACCAGCGCAAACCCCAAAATAGTTTCCCCCTTCCGATACAAAAGCCTTTAGATTCGCTATACCCTGTCCTTTCAATTTTCGAAGGTAAGGGATGTCTCTCCCACCTGGCATGATAAAAACTTTTGCATCTCTGAAACATATTCCTTCAACGACATCTTTTCCAGAAACTCTTTTGATTCGATAATTGTGAATTATCCGAGAAGCTCTAAATTCACTGAATGAAAATTCAAGAGCACTGACAAAAGTATCGACGTGGGACGTCCCATCGTCGTCGTAGATCAAAATCTTCATTAGATTGTTTTCTTCCATCTTTGTATCTCAGTGTCTTTGTATACATATAGCCTCTTTTACAGACTGACAATATTTGTCTCGTAATGAAGTGCAGTTTTGGCCTAAAGTGGTTACACTAAGAGCGTAGGGGAAATGCCCCCAAAAGGAAAGTCAAAAGGAGGTGGGGATTCAAAGAAAGGAGCCGCAGGAAAAGGTTTGTTTTTATACCAAAGCTGCTCGTTTACAATGAACTAATTCCCCTTATATCAACATAATTTCTTGTAAATCCTCGAATCAATCGAACGCCCATTGGGGGGACGTGGTAGAGAATGAAAAAATCATCACCAATCATACTAAAAGTTGCACTTTAAAACTTCCCAAATTTTACTTATCTAGGTAAATTTTTGGAGAAGCTTGAACGCTATTGATACTGTCTTTTTGGTAGAACTGATTATCTAGTTCCACCTTTAGATGGAAGTAAAGGCAAGGAGGACGGCAAAGGAAAATCCGGTGCAGGAACTTCTGTAAAGGTGAGGCTAGCTTTTGTACTTATTTGAGACCACCTTTATATTTCTCCTTTTCTTTTTTTCCTTTTCTTTATTCATTTCATATTTTGTACAGGTACAGCAAGTTTTGATGCGTGAAATTTTGATGCGTTGCCTTTTGGCACAGCTACTGATCATGACTGGATGAACTAAACATCACTTTTGAAAGGAAGGCTTTTGAAAGGAAGGATCAAGAGGCCTTTCATGAAAGATCTGGATTTAAAAATCAAAGTTTGAACATTGTCATCATTTGTGAGATCCGGAACCTTCTACAGGCCTAAACAGAAGCTAAGACTATATGTGACTCGGTCGGCCTGTACCTGAAATTGTTCATTATGTTCCTATCAGTCATTAACATTGGAATCATTTTCCTATTTTTGATCAAACAGAAGGCTTAACAGCAATTGAATAGCCTTCATAAATTTTCAAGCTTCAACTCTCCAAAGTATAAGACTAAATCAGGTTTTCCAAGAAATTTCGAGATTCTATTAGACCTAAAGTTATAAAGGTTTTATGTTATTTTACTTCTTGAACAAATAATGTTTACATTTTTAGACACATTTGTGAAGTAACTGATTACCCCCAATGAAGAATTAATTGAGTATTCACAATTGAAAGGTTGTGGTTGAATTTTTTGAAGAAAATAGTTACTATGGAATTTTTGATCTGTGCGTTTATCTTTCACCTTTGTTTTTCAGCCCTTAGTGCCATTTTGAAAGTGACTTATTGAAATTTTCTGTTTCTTTAATCAGCTCAGTATACTTATCAGTCCTAAGTGTGTGTTCTATAGGTAGCTGTTACAAGAGCATGGCACACAAAGAGTGTGTTAAGAGCCTTGTCAAGTTTTGTACCCATCTGAAAGATCCTTGATCTGCCACTGTGAACCCACACTGATCCTTTTTAGATGCTTTTTCCAGAAGTTGCTATATTCAAGCATTCTCTGTAAGTAGCTGGTATGTTAATAAAAGCAATGAAACATTTTTGACAGATACTAAAATGATCAAACTAATCCAAATTTTTCTTGTGTGCTGTTCTCCTGGACTTTAATTACATATTTTCTTGTAAAGAAAGATAGTGTTGTGCTGAATTGGCTTTTTATATTTGATCAATTATTTATTAACTGGCAAGCAAAGCTAATGCATAGCAAGGCAATAATTCGATCACAACACACAAAACAGACACCAAGTTTTGAACAATGAAGCTTTGGGAAATGAAACATGTCTCCATTTCACTGCTGTGTCATTAAATTGATTATCAATATAATTTTTTTGGAAAAACGCATTTAGAAAAATTCTTTAATTAAATACTTCTGCCTATTCCTTCTCTCCATGTTTGCGAACATATGTGTTTTAATGACCCTTTACCCCGGTGCGCAGTACCATAGCGGCTGCTTTGAGGCAAGGAGACCATGTCTGGTCTACTGTGGCCCTTTAGCCTAGAATCTGAATGCCCCTTGACCAGATCCCTAATATGTGGTCACCAAGCAAATAGGAACAGAAACCACTTTTGTCATACAGGTTAATCAGTACTATTCATTTATGTTTAAAGAACAATTATCATCCCAAGATATGCTTAGTTCACAAAGTTTTTAACATAACAGGAAAGTTTGGATTTGTCCGTCCAGTTTCTAAGTTGCAGTGGCCTTAACTTTCAGGTCCGTCATATTTTGTGTGAAAAGCACTCAAAAGTTATGGAAGCAATGGAGAAAATAAAAGCTGGTCAGAAGTTCAATGAAGTTGCAACACAGTACAGTGAAGACAAAGCAAGGCATGGAGTGAGTATTTTTATAGGGTATGACAATTTTCCTGAAAGTAATTGTTAAAAATTTTAATGATTCCATAAAGAATGTTCAATATAGATTACCTAACACCTCTAGCTATTTTGTCCTAACAAAGGTGAGAATTAACAAAGGATAATGAAACTACCAGCTTGCTGGTGGCTTTCCTGGAGTGATATCTTGTTTGAGTCCATTGAGATGTCACCTAAACATTTTATATCAACAGAGAAGTTTAATGCCATGGCCAAGGTAATTTAAACTTTCCTTTCATGATTCTTTTCTGAATCTATTAATTCATTGTAAAAAGTATGATACACTGTACACTGTTCAAATTTAACTTAGAATCTACAGTCTACATTACAACTGTTTGGGGCCCTCTAAGCTCATTGGCTGAGACAATTTGCCCCTTGCATCCCCTTTTATTGGCTAGTCAATTGGCAGAATTAGATCAACATGTTTAAATGCACTGAGTCATAATAAAGGGTGAGGGTATACCCAAATGCGCTGAGTCATGCTTTTTGTGCTGTGTTGCTATGGTAGCCTGAAGCTTATCACATGAGCTCACCTCATATTAATTTAGAAAACAGCTTCTATCAAGCAAGTTTTCAACAACAGAAGCCGATATCCCATGAAACTGGAGAGACCACACCTAAAGCAACTGACAGAAGGATTATAAAGAAGGCCTATTTACCATGCCTTTAATGTACTGATTGATATTGGAACAACTTTTCTATTATGTTAAGTCTATTAATGACAAGATATGAAGTCAATATTGCCTGTCTTTCAATCTTGTGTTTGTATTTAGCATGCTGTAGCATGCTGTAGCAGGTTGATCCCTAGATTTTGATTGTATCATCCAAGTTTTAGTCACCTGTGTGATTGAAAGAAGCATGTGAGAGAAATTTTAAAATTGAATTGTTAATGATTAATAATTGTGTGGGCTTCCTAATTTCAACTTGATCTGAACTTAATACATGGTGTGCCATTTCAAAAAACATTGTTTGTTTTTATTAAGGTGCTTCTGTACTAATCACTTGTCAATCTGAAGGGATTAATCAAATCTTTTTTTGTAATAAAGTTTTTCATGATACATTTTACAGGGTGACCTTGGGTGGATGACCAGAGGCTCGATGGTAATTTTTAACAATTTTCTTTTTGTATTATTTTATTTCTTTACTTTTTTCTTGATTGTATAATGCAGCCAAATGAGTATTGATGGTATGTTTCGTATTGCTCTACCTAGATTTTTAAGACCACTTTGATAACTTGTAAGCATTTTTTTGAATCATTATTTAAAATCATAACATTATGTGTCAATGTGAAGCTCTGAATAGAAAAATATCTGATTTGCTACCAGTTACCGCTACTACTGAGCTAAAAAATTTGGTTGCTCCTTTTGATCCTTCCATGGAAAGTTCTTGGTCTTTAACTATCAAATAGCAGCACTGATGTTGCAATGACTGGATGGGGTTGCAAAGGTGGAGTGCAATAATGTGACATGAACTTCTGCCTCTTCTTCATAAATATATATTCTTTTACATTTTCTACATTTTCTTATCTGTTGCTCTTTTAGAATAAATGTTTCTTCTCCTGTCTAGGTTGGCCCATTTCAAGATGCTGCTTTTGCATTGCAACCAAGTACTGTTGATAAACCAATATATACAGACCCTCCTGTTAAGACCAAGTTTGGTTATCATATAATAATGATTGAAGGCAAAAAATGAGAGTAAGTGATGTAGGAAGACATCTCCTTTGCTCTTTTTTCCGTTCCATCTTATTCGCATTCTCTAGCCTTTAAGGTAAGATGAAACCTGGCATATGTTTACTGGATTGTAAGCCAGAAAGCATTGCTTTCAAATTGACATTCTGGGAGAAAATTTGCAGTCAAAACACAGATATATAGCTCATTAAAAAATCTTTGTCTCCCTATAAAAATATTACCAATGCTTATCATATGGTTAAGAAAAAATTTGAACGGTCTTGATTTTTATTGTTTTGAAGCGTCATTTTTGAAGGTCCAATTATTACCGAAGTTGCACGTTATCTATGGTGAGAAAATTTTCTTTAAATGCAAGCTTTGAAGCCGAAATGGAAAAGAAACAGTGGCGGACACTTGGTCAAATATTGGGGGGGCAGGCCTATTGTTTTAATAAGATGACGTCATATTTCCTATTGTTTTAGAACAAAAGACCATTGTTCTCTAAAGTATTGGGGGGGCGGTCGCCCCCCCTCGCCCCCCCAAGTGTCCGCCACTGAAAAGAAAATCATATGTTTTACTGAAAAGTCGTTTGTACCGTTTTCAGTGGGCGGGGGCTTAAGGTGATCAGCAGGCAGAGTTCTTAAAGGACGCTGTTTTTCTGTGAAATGTGATTTTGGCCTTGAAAGGTCATCTCAGAGAAATGTCATTGAGAAACCATATTGTCTCTGTTGCATATGTAAACATTAAGGTCCGGTATTTGTTGGTCTTGAAATAACTTATAGATAAGAAACAAAGAGGCAAATGGAAGGCATTCACTGTTTTTATCGAAACGTTCTTACACTTGTTTACTTGACTTACGTTATATCAAGACTGACGCTGTACAACCATAGACATCTAACAGAGGGTACTGCTATCTTTTAACAGTGAACATAAATATCATCCAAATAACAGACAGAACCAATATGACCAAGTTATATGTAGCGTGAACGACAAGTCCACTTCAAGTCTACGTTCGCTAGAATAAAATGTCCGAAAGGGTTTATCTGTGCACCTGCAATAAAGGCAGGATATTTGAAATATTTGTTATATCCCAATATTTGCGGATTATGAGGATACAATTTGCTTTACTTAGATTAACATGAACTTTCTGAAACACTTTATAGATTGTCATAATGTGTAGGGATAGTTATGAGGTATCTTTAGCTTTTCAAAGCGTTATAGCAAGCGTGCATGCGTGCTTTTCATAAGGCGTTGATTGCATTACAAATGTAGCACGAAACTAAATTTTCAGTCATTTATTGGTAGACATATCTTTGTAACTTTCTAGTATTCTTATTAAAGACGTAGCCAACGATTCATCTCGCGCAACTCTGCATCCCAGAATATTCTTTGTTGTTCTTTTTCTTTAATTGTCTTTTCTATGGCCAGGTTCAATTCATCGTCATTCATCGACACGCTTGTGTCCTCATTTTGTTCCTCGCTTCCCTCTTCATGTTCATGATCGCCATGATCATGCTGCCCAGTCATTAAGTCGCCATACCGTTTACCTGATGGGAGAAAGGCAGTAATTCTTGGTTACTAACGATAAAAAATTTTGAAATTTTTATAGAATATTCCTTAGAAAATTCTAAGAGCAAGTTTTTGCAAGAGAAATATCATATTGGAACTGGCTTAAATATGCCTTGATTGCAGTGTGCAGGATCATGAATTTGATTAGCTGAGATCAGCAATCCTTAATAATTGCTTATTTGGCCAGAGGTGGATAATGAATTACTTAATATGCTGTAATATTGCCTATAAGTATTGATTTAAACCCTAATTTACGGATGTAAACCCTTTGTTTGAAAACAGAGCAAAACTTCCGCACCAAAGTTGCTTGTTCTTCAGAACCTTGTATTGGATAGCAAATATAATGAATTTTTTGAATTAGTATAAATCATATGCATCATAAACAGCATTAAAAGAATCACAGCAACAACAACAACAAGCAAAAACAGCAACAACAACAACAACACTTGCCACATGACAGCAAAATCTACAAGTTTCCACCTGATGTCTTATTCTCAAAGCACGGTCCTACTACCTGCTGCGAAATGTTTTTGTGAATGATCTAAACTAAAGAGCATGATCCTCGGTGACCCCTTGAACCTCCCGTACTGAAACGGATTATCTTTACAACTTTTTATTGTAGAGTTCTCTTTTCTTGAGCAATGGGCAATTCAATTGTCCGTGTGTTTAAACGGTACTTCGGAAAACAAGAATGTCGTGTTTTAATGGTTGGCCTGGATGCTGCTGGTAAAACTACAATACTTTACCATTTTAAGTTAGACGAACTCGTCACTACCATACCAACGGTAGGGTTCAATGTTGAAACCTTGGAACATAAAAACGTGACTTTCACTGTATGGGATATTGGAGGCCAAGATAAAATTCGAGCTTTATGGAGACTTTATTATCAAGAAACGGATGGGATCATTTTCGTCGTTGATAGCAGTGACAGAGAAAGAGTGCAAGAGGCAAAAATTGAATTATTTCGACTTCTAAAGGAGGACGAGCTCAGAAACTGTATTATTTTAGTCTACGCTAATAAACAAGATTTGCCAGACGTTATGTCAACGACAGAACTAACCGAAAAACTTGGCCTGTTGACTTTAAGGAATAGAAACTGGTTTATTCAGTCATCTAGTGCTGTTAACGGCATTGGTTTGTTAGATGGCCTTGAGTGGCTTGGAAATCAGATAAAAATCAGAAAAGTTAATGCAAAGTCTTAATTTGGGAAATCGATCGCGGGCAATTGAATGATGGGAAGGCAGTATTCTTCGTGTTTCTTACGTTTGACATTGTCAAGATTGTTTAGGTTTCCCTGATTGAAACCATTTTATCCTTAATTAAATAATTCTTTACATCAACAATGAGCTGGACCGTGACATTCATTGCGACAATGAATAAAAGTTAATACTTTATAGCTATTTGAAAGTTTTTCCTTTGATTTTTGAAATATTAGTAAGCTTGATGATTATTCAAATCATATTGTTAACCAGATAAATTTTAATTTTGCCTGACCTGATAATTCTCTTTATGTATCTGTTCACAAATCAAATTCCGCATGTTGACGTTTTGTGGTAAATAAAATGTGGATAATATTCGATTTTTATTGATGAACAACATCAAATCTGCTTTTGTTCCCATGTTGTTGAAGACTTAACTTCGTAGATATTTTGATTTTTTTAACTTTGTTTATTCAGGTAGCTTATGTGCTGCATCGTTTTGTTAAAATATTTTCGAAGATGATAAAAACATGAATAAATGATAAAAATAAACAAAATACTCATTTTTAAAAAAATGCCTAACTTCGCATGCCTTAGTTCCGCGTGGTAACAGCAAATTAAGCTCTGGCAACAATCTATTTCAAAAATGACTGTTGCACCTTTTTATACTTATATCAAGCTACAATTCGATCAAAAGTGACACGGGAACAGCAAATTTAGCTTTGACAACATCAGCATCTGACAATCAAACGAATTTTACGCCTTTTTATAACTATATGTAGCTACAATTTGATCTAGTATGTTGCAGGAAAACCATACTAGAAGAAAATCTTCATATTAGTCAAAGGATGACCTTCTTCTGCCAAGAAGAGACCCAAATTTTTACTTTTGTATATTCTTATACGTATTAGACTGCTGACAATCTAATTACTATATTATGAAGACGATAGTACATAAAGCTCTGACCGAAAACGTTTGACCAACAAGAAGTGTACCTTCAAAGTTTACGCAGTAATATATGGTTTGGCTGGCTAATTGCATGGAACAGTTTTTGATTACCTTTAAAGCACGACAACATTTATGCACGTAAAGATCTTACCTGGACAAAGCCCCACCGGCTTTCCACTGATTTCTTTATTCAATGCAAGCGCAGACAGCAGAAAAGCGAGAATGAATTTACTTTTCATAACAACGACTTCAGGCCTAACTTTTGGCAATTAGATACTTGGCATTGGGAGAAGTACTGGGTTTTATTTTTTGAACATGTGATATCCGCTGCTAAGCAACCCTGCTGATCTGCATGGAATGGCGTGGAATCCAACCTTCCACGTGGGTTTCCTCCTCTTATTGTCGAACGCAACAAGTCGCCTTTACTGTTAACTTTAATTTTTGATGAAGCACCTGGGGCCTTCTATACAGAAATTAATTATTCTTATTGCTGTTCCAGGGATGTGCAGTGTATGTAGTTTATTGTAGTTTTAGATTATACATCCAAGAAGTTTAAGTTTTTGTTGGCCTTACCAAAGATGGAGATGAAATGTTCAATCTCTTATAATCAATTCAATGCAAAAAGGTTTCCTCCTGTCCATCTTTTTTAAAAGGCTTGGCTAGAGCGCAGCGCTAAGGGAAAAATCTGGCAATGGAACACCCTCGTTGTCTTTTCATAGCTCGAGATCTATGTGGATGTTTTGCAAATTTTTTAGAAGACTTATTGTTTTTAAAGTTATTTGTTTCAATCGAGAGTCAAATTTTTCAAAACTAGAATTTCTAGTCAAATTTTACTTTCCCCGGTAACAAAATACTTCAGGTATACCGTATTTCATTTTTAAAAAATTAAACTGTACTTTATATACCCCATTAAAACGTTTCGTTTTTATGCATAGTTGAAAGTGTATCGACAGTATTGAACTAAGCGATCAAGCAAGAGAAGTAAAGGTGCAGGAGTAGGGTCTTCCATCTTTGACAAAAGATAAAAAGTCGCGATACAAAACAAAATCATATTTAAAGCATTAAAGATATCCTTAGGGTATAGTGAAAATACGTTATACAAGCAGCTTAGTTGGATAGTAAGGGATACAAGTATACAGCAAAGATAAAGACGAATTATGTCCATGTTCCGTCTACTGTACATGCATTCCTGCACTGTCCTTATACAAAGCATCTCTGGAGGTTGATAATGCAAGCAAAATCAGGGGACCTCTGATGTCTCAGTTACAGTTCCTTGTTGTGATTTCGTTGTTAAAGGGACATGGACCTCATGTGCCTGCTGTCGTTGGCAAAATTTGGAATAAAAATCTTTATGGCAACCAAAACAAAGAAAGACTAAGAAACCTTGCAGTGAGGCCATTGCTACGAACAAGAACATCAGTACATTTGAACTGATTGCGTTGGCTATAAATCCGAAAAGCCAGCCCAAACCAAACAGGATGGATAGCTTGAGCATAAGAACGCTGATGACAACCTTTCTCCTTGAAGAAACATTCTTGCTGTGGTCAGTCGTAAACATCTTTTTGCTCTTCTTCTGCAGTGAACGAAGTTTTACAAGTGTTGAAATCATAAGCATGGTGTTTGTCAATAATACAAGAGCGACAGGGACAATAAAAGCAAATAGGTTGGCCCAAAATTTTGCAACAAAGCACTTCCCCTGGTAACCGTAGCCTGAAAAGTCTTCTTTTGGTATCCCTAGGAAGACACAAAGCAAAACAATAGTTGTAGCAGACATAGCGACGAAAATGACGTATTTCTTAAACCGTCTACTGCTTCTGTCGCTGCCAACATGATGCATTCCTCTGAAAGTTTTGAAAATGTCATAGGAAATAGTTAACATCCACATAAAACTAGCCATCAGAGCCCAATGAAGCAAAACTCCGCCTGCTTTGCAAAAGTATCTGACGTCATTAAGATGTGTCAGCAGTAACTGTAGTCCATGAGATACAAATAGTGTGCAACACAGAGATACAATATTTCTTTCAAAAAGAGAGAGCCTCTGCTTACATAGACCATATTCTAGCAGGAGAAGGATGATGCCAACAAGACTTAAACTGTTTCCGCAATCCGAGAGAATTGAATATTTTCTATTATCAGACCCAACGCGTGACACTGTATAGACAATAGTTGTCAAGTTGTTTGTTGTAGTGCCGTTTGTTTTCACTGCATTAACTTTCTGCTTTTCGAAAACATTGATCGTGGTCCTGGCAATCACTTGTATTGCAGCAAAAAAGTATGTGCTTGCGACATCAGTGCCCTTTTCTAGCACTACCTCAGGTAAAGGTGGGGGCATTGGTCCTGATGATCCTAACCCTCCTCCGCCACCTTGCCCTCCTACCCCACCTAGGCCTTGTCCCCCACCTAGGCCTTGTCCCCCACCTAGGCCTTGTCCCCCACCTGGCCTTTCTAGTTCTAGTTCTATTACAGGAATTGGTGGTATGCCGGTAAAATCTGTAATGTTTATCAATGTTGGTGTAATTTTAGTTGTTGTTGCTATTTTTGTTGTTGGTAGTGTTGTTGTGGTTGCTGTTGTTGTTAATGGTCTGGAAGTCGTCGATGTCGTTGCATTGGTGCTAACATTGCTACACAGCTGTTGAAGAGAAGATCCGTTAATTGATTTTGCTGTTACGTTCAAGGCAGTGTCTTCACACCACTTAGGTGGTGCGGCAATCTTCCTGCATGAATCCTCAGTCGCAATCAACTGGGAAATGATCAGCCTGCACAAGTATTCTTCATCAAGACTTTCAGTATTATTGAAAGTCGTTGCGTTGACGACTTTTGCTGTAATCTCCATGAATTTCGGATACTTTCCCAGCAACAGTTTTAACATATCACCAGCAGTATCATTGAGAAAAGCCCCAATGTCAATACTGTCAATACCACTGACCTCATCCCTTTCGAAATTTGTCTTGTTTAAATGAAGCGTGGAGCAGAAAACTTCTGAAATTCCAATTACGAATAACAGTAACACGAAGCTTTCAGTTCTCATTTTGTTTATGTTCTTGCAGTCCTAAATTGATTCCTGAACCTCTCGCTCCAAGTTCTAGAGCAGTTCCGGTCAGCTGTTGACGCCTTGCAGTGCTATCCGTCAGGTTGCCTCGTGTGGGCTGGATTATCTGGTCAACAGCATTTAAGACTCATTGCTAACAATGGGCCTTTGCGAGCGTGGCGATGGTCCAAACAATGGCAGTAATTTTCTACGGATTAACCAAAATTGATTTTAGTCAGTCTAAAAATGCATTACGGGATGATTACGTAGCGCAATGGCTCATCAAAGATTTACCTGCAAAGGAAACGTATTGTGTTTATTTATCGCCAATACAATAGAGTCAATTGGTATTATTGTTCGGCTTTCAAGGTGCTCTAATTTTCTTTATTGGATTTCTAGCTTTTCATCAAAGACATGACTTTAATCCACGCATAATAAAAAAAATATTCCTGTTTTATTTGTTATAATGATACCTACATTTGTATTTTGTGATTATGTTGTATTGGCTCTGTAACGTTTTGTGATTTGCTAGTTTTCCAACAAACGAGTTTAGTTACATGAAACTAAGTTTAGGCTCTTGTTCCCAGGGTAGATTTGCCCCTAAGACTTTATGGCGCCATGCATGCATGCATTACAAAAGCACCTCTCAAGATATCCTATAGTGTATCAAGGCCTGTAAGTTGCTTCCGAAATCCGTGTATAAGATTAAATATTATCTTGTCGAGCAGGAAATCAAACTTTCCGAGGACTCTCCATATGCATTGCACAAACCCATTTGGTAGCATGAATCTAGATTGAAATAGGCGTGTATTGACCTTGCACGTAACGTCTCTTAGAAAAGTTCATGATGGGTGGAACCATAAATGAATAATTCAAACCCTATTTTCACTTGATATTCCTCCATTTGTACAGAATTATCACGTATTATCAGGGGAACTATTTTATGTATGACGTCATGAATTATAAGTAGAATGTCACAAAAATGGTATAAAAGCAGCAAGAGGATCTTCTCTAGAAAATACAAATTGCAAATAGAATCGTCTTTGCTTTGAGTTCATCACCCGCATTTCCCTTCTCTCGATAAAAAGCACAATGCTCCGATAAGTTGGATCATAAAAAATATTGCTAGATTGCAGCACAAGGTGCTGCCCTATAGCATTTAGCGCTAGCTCCCAAGAGTATGGGTTTAGGAGAACTAGAGCTAAGGGAAACTTCCAACATATTCCAAAATTTTCCATACACCATAAATTCATCTTTTTAACTAACGTTGGATACACATCTGTAAACATAATTTCAAATGTAATTTTACTTCTAGGCATATCGAGGCGATTTGAATTTTATGTCACGAATTAACAGATTGTAGTTAGGCATATGTTTGAAAATGAAAGAAATGAAAAAATACTTTGAAGTGTATTACCTAAATTTTTCTTTTCTTTGCGAATAGGAAGTACAGGCTAAAAACTGAGAGTTCTGCCGGTTGTGGATACAAATTTGCGCGAAATGAAAAAAAAAACGTACGAGACTGCTGACAGACAAGCTTCATTTCGATAAAATACGTTTACCTGCTAATTTTGTCAATAGAGCTAGCCTTATGCAGTTTTAATGGTCCAATTATGTATTACCAGTTATTTTGACGGCATATTGTTTTAGCAGTGGCGTTTTCGTCTCGCACCCGATTTAAGGTGATATCTTTTGGGTGATATTACTGACGTAGATCGTTTCATTGACGAAGCTTTTAGCCCTCTATGAGTATAAATTGTATCCATTTTCTTGCGACAGTTTTTTATCCTAGTAAATTAAAGAAACAATATGGTATCATTTTTGAAATTTTCTTGGTTAGCGAAACGAAAGGCTATTCAATATGCTTCAAAGGCTATTTAATACAACCCATATCTTTCTCCGCTCTATGCTCGATTTAGTGCGCGCAGTTTCAGTGGTTACGCTTTTAAGCTTTTTGCTTGTCGCCAATATGTTAGCCTTGCGTCACTAATAAGAAGAATCATTGCAGCAGCAGCAACAAGCTTGCCCATTAACATTATACCTCTCAGTGAGAATAAGAACTGTCCACTTCTAACGCAGGATGAGAGATCAGGCTAGAGATGACAGTCATGTACAATCATTTGCTAATATTATTTAATATTCCATGTTTAAGTAATTGACAAACCTATTACCTCATTGATCTGAACTTAATTCCCAACAGTCCTCTGGTTCTTTGATCTTGTTCTCCATTAATCCACTTGAAACTTAGGTTGGGCCCCCTGTGCATAGAAAGTAGCTCATCCTTGTTCGGGCCAACAGGAACCTTTTTTATTTGCTTTATTTTCTTGTATAAATAACTAACTATTTGATATTACGCAGATTCTTTTATGATGAACCAAGGTCACACAAAACTGTGTATAAAACAGGCATGTTAATGAATCCGCCAAACGCAATCTATGAATTTATTAACAAAGATATACAGAACCAAAAATCGCGGCTGAATCCTATTGTCATGAATGACACTTTTGTGACAAGGGTGTACAATATGGCTTCCAAAATAAGAATACCGTTGGCATTCCTAATGACATTAAAACATGATATATTTTTGCCAATTGAGAGATATCGGGCCCGAATGCAGTGGCGAACATTAACTCACAGTATTAGAATGTTTCAATCATTGGCAGATTTTGAAAAAGAATTCAGAATCACGAAACTTGAATGTGACTTTAGATTGTGTATTGCATTTCTTTCTAGATTTGGCTTTATATGATTCGCAATATTTCATTATGTCTTGTAATGCAGGGCCTCCGACGAAGGGGGGGGGGGCGGGAGGGGCCATGGCCCTCTCACTTTTTTGCAAAACAATAGAGCTTTTTTTAAAAACTTTTGTTATGATTGTTATATTTTCTCTTGGCCCCTCCACTTTCCAACCTGCGTCGGAACCCATGTAATGCTTTTCTTCCGTTCTCAATATGTTCGATATTTCCGATAGTTTTCATTTCCTAACTTCTACCTAGCTACTAGATTTATGCGCCAATTTTAATCAAATAATTCATCATTTTTATTATGTTCTTATTAATCTACACGTCTTAACTAATTTTGCATACATGACAGTCAGAAATTTACGTCACCTGGACTTGTTAATTTCTCTAACATGAGATGTTAGATTTTTCTAACATAGCACTAAGAGCCTTAAAATAATTGCATTTGCTTGTCTCATCATCCATATCATGGTTAAACAATGTTTTCAGTAAAACTTCCATTAACTAAAGAAGTATTTGGCAGGTTAGCAAATGCCTGAACTGTCTTGTCTTGAGTAGAGTGTATAAACTAGAAACAGAGTTGGTACCCAGGCTACAGTGAACTGTCTTTTTTCAATATGTTACAACTTTAAGTAAAGTAAAAAGAAAATAGAAACTCAGTTGCCTGCTACTCACATTTCAATCTTGGTTTTCAGTTAGAGAAGTACATGTGTGTACAATCTATCAACTTCATACAGCAGAAATAAAATTTCCAAGCTCATTGCATGTCTTACTTAGAATGCAGCATGTGGTATCATTCATAACATACCTTATTGCACTCTCTCTAATGCAGAAGCAAAACACAGTAAACACTTATTGATTCTGAATGAATGAAATGGAAACCCTGAATCGATAGAAATTTTCCTAATGGATTTTCAGAATAATTTTTTAGAATTCTGATCAGGTTTGAGAATTAATGAAATATATATTATAGGTATTTTCATCTTTGGCTCCAATAGATACCCAAGCATGCCCGTGCGTCAAAACAAGCTTTCCCAGATCCCCAATCATGTTCGAAGATGACGCATGTCTACAATTGTTCTCATGAATTATGTATTACGCACTTTTTTATATAAGGATCTAGTCTATTAGAATATTAAGGCTGAAATTTAGGTATAATTTAATAATAATGCAAGGCTCAAGCTTCATCGAGAATTAAACTTTTTGTTTATTTGAGTTTTTAGAAGCAAAGCAAATGCAAGTTAAACGGCCTTGGAGGCATTACAACTATAATGCGACTCAGTCTTGTCACCTTGTCTTGCTTAAGAACGGTTTAAGAATAACCTTAGTCTGAAAATAAGAAAAATTAAGAATATTGAGGCCCACCAAAAATGTTGGCGTTCTTGTAAAAAAAGAGTGTATTCTAGTTGCAATAAAGGCATCAGAAAAATAATACCAAAAAAGTTATTAAACATTTTGAGAATTCTTTATTGGAAGAGTGAACCAACTTGACAAAGGTGATTCTCTATACTTCTACAGACATTTTGCCCATCTATTCGATATCATTTTTGCTTCACAAATCTCCTTCATATCTTATCTTTCACAAAGCTCTTTTATATCTTATCTGTCACAAATCCCTTTTATATCTTATCTTTCACAAGTCTCCCTAATATCTTATCTTTCAGGACACCTGAAAAGTAAATAGTGCGCTCGTTGAGATGATGAACCATGAAAAGATTATTAGAAAAGCAAAATGTACATCATTTTACTCCTAAAATCTCCTAAAATCCAATTAGGTAACAGGTTTTATGGAAATTTTTAAAACGTGAGCTTTTTGACCATCTGCACAATAATGTGCCAGCAGATGGACATTATCAACTGCCGAAGAGTTCTATAAAATATGAATAGCTTGCAACAACTCAAGGCATAGATTTTGAAAGCTAAACAGGCATTTGAGTAAGCAATCGTGAACGAAGTTAGTTTGAGCAGTAGCACAATAAGTCTCGTTGCTAACCTCCAAAAATTATTGAAAATTTATTAATATGAGAGTACTAATTTTTGAACAATTTTAAGGATAGATCAATTCTTTCTTGTAAGGACCTCTGGTATTGGCAATTCTTTGCCCAGCATAAAACGTAAAAAGCAGTTGTCATGATATATACTGTAGCTTCTGCTGCTACCAGATCAATGCATCGTTGACAGTGACAGTGCCAAGGGGGGTTTTAGGGGGAGGGTAATTACCCCCCCCCCCCACTTTTTTCAAATCATGGTCTACATATTTTTTTCTAAAAACTGACTAAAAGCGCTAGATAGGGGTAGTTCATATTTTTTATAAAAAGTTAACCTGGGTCAAAGCACTGAAACGAGGTTAAAGGGTGTGGTCTCTCTGGCCACGTCCATTACCCTCCCACTCTGCAGTAGCTGCCACTGATCGTTGAAGGCTAGATTATACATTTGCAGTCCATGGATCTGCTCTAATGGCGCTTCCTTTCAAAGCTTATTTTGTATTGGTATCGTTGTGACAGTTTGTCTAGCGCCGCTGCTAGGCGGGACGGGCTCCTGGGGCCAAAGTCATCGCCCGTCCCCAATTTGCAGCGAAGGCCAGAAAATTTTTTGATTGCGCCCCTTTTTCGCTTCTAGAAACGCCATTGAAGGCTAAAATTGCCTTCTGTACGATCCCTTGTAGCGTGGTTAAAATGTTCATCTTTTCTTAAGGCTAAAGCATCGAAAACATCACTAAAGTTAATATTTTTAGCACAGCTAAGTCATTCTGTTGGCCACCATTCCTTGTCGTTTTGAGTAACCCAGTTTGCTAGCCTGAGCTCAAGACCGTGGAAAAGACGCTTTAAACATAAACAAAACAGAATCAATTTCAAATACTTTTAAATGTCAGGCATTTTGGCGTCTTTACGGAAGAAAGCCTTACCTGGAATGATACGTTATCGTCATATAGTCATTTGTAGCAGCATTACCACAAAGGAAACAATATTCTTTCTACCTGAGCCCAGAAAAAGCTTCATTGCAGTCTTTTAGAATATCGTGTTGTGCTAACATCTTAAGTTTTCAAGGTTCCTTTCTTGGGTCTCGACGACAGTTTCGATGTACTAAAACGTCACCAATTGAAATTCTTTACGTCATTAAAACGTTACTCTCTCTGTTAAATAATTGTTCAAATCAAAACTTCTGTGTCTCCCACGGTGCATTATGAGGTGTAGGGCACTCACTTCATAACGTTTACTGCCTTTTCATTTTTAAGATCTAGCTTGCATATCACAGAATTTTAATCCACCAAATTGCTTAGCGATTCTGCCATAAGATAATTAAGATGGGTCAATGAGAAAAAATGAATTCCTCAAATACCTTATTGCTACAACTTTTGCTGGGTACTCTAGACAGAAAATGACGGGAGGTTTCTTTTTTGAGCAAAAATCATGATTATGCACTCATTAATTTGCATAAACAAGAAAAGGCCATAGCTACTTCCTTTTTGTGATGACGTCTCATCTTAAAAATTGCTTTTATTATGATTATAAAATATCTTATGAACATCAACCATGGTTATGTTTAGGGCATACCATAGGTATTCGTTGAATTGTTTATTCTCAACCAAGCCAACCAACCATTCCGTAGTTTTAAAGTTTTTAACAATTATGGAGAAATCAATATCCTTATTTATACCAGTTTCAAGAAAGTGAGTCGTTCATTTATACCAATCATCAGAATTGGATTGTTTATTCTCTTTATGTCCCTCAAATATTGATGTCCATCGCTTGTGGTGGGTTAACGAATTTTGTATTTGGGCATTGAAAAACTTCCTGTCGATTATAAAATGTCCGCCCATGTTTTTTCGGAAAATTAGAGAAAGCTGACCACTTTCTTTTACTAGCCCTCTTATTTATTTTTCAGTTCTAGAATAGGAGAGATTTTGCATGCGTAAATTTCCAATTTTGAAAGAAAAGCAGATTTTTTCTTTTCTGAACAGATACCCTTAGTTATGCTACAAGTATTGAATTATCGAATGTGGCCTCTTCCATCATATAAATCTCAATAAATCTTCTTCCCCATTGTTGGTTTTGGGCGCTTTTGAGTATTTTATAGGACAAAATTCTGCACTGAGTGGTAGAAAATTCCCTTTTGTATCATTTTTCCCAGTTGATCTTGGTTTTACTCTCCACGACCTCGCTAAAAGCTATAAACCAGTTTCCCTTGGTGCCAGAGCCTCGGTGAAAGTCTGACATAAGACAAGACAAAGAGGTCGGTTGGGTTTGTAGATCTGAAATTTTGATAAAGTGATTCAGTATAGATGATCAATCAAAGGTTATGTGATTTTTTACTCCAAACCGATGTTATGTTATGTTTTGTCCAGAGCCTCTTTCTTCCGCTCTCCTCCTACGCCAGACCAATGTTCGACAGTCTCTTTCACCGAGGCATTGGCACCCAGGGCTCAAATTGTCAATTCTTGATCGCACAGAACAACTGAAATTTTGGAGTTTGAAGGAGTAAGAAGAAGCCCGAACATTGGCTTGACTGTCGGCGGCCTTGGGATCGCGTATTGGCGCAAATAGGGATTTGCCCCACGAAGGGTACCCAGGGAGAGTTTTAGAGCTTTATTCTCAAATAATTATAGATGTTCAAAAGTAAGTAAACGAGCAAAGATAGTAATAACATAGAAAAAAATGATTTCTATCCCCTAAAAAAAGACAAAAAGTCCACTGAGAAGCAAAATCTCATTTAAACAGTAAAAATAAGTGTAGTAAGAAAAGTCATTTTATTTGCAGCTAAGTTGGATAGTAATGCAAGTAAACTTTAAACAAAAAGACGTGCAAGGTCCGTATGCATTCTGGTTGCTGATAGTACAAAAGAGTCAGTATGTCATTGATGTTTCAGTTACAATTCCTCGTTGTGATATCGTTGTTGATTGAAAATGGACCTCATGTGGCGGCCGTTGTTGACAAAATTTACCATAAAGTTCTTTATGGCAACCGAAACAAAGAAAAACTAAGAAACCTTGCAGTGAAACAATTGCGACGAACAAGAACATCAGTACATTTGAATTGATTGCGTTGGCTATAAATCCGAAAAGCCAGCCCAAACCAAACAGGATGGATAGCTTGAGCATAAGAACGCTGATGACAACCTTTCTTCTTGAAGAAACATTCTTGCTGTTGTCAGTCGTGAACATCTTTTTGCTCTTCTTCTGCAGTGATTGAAGTTTTACAAGTGTTGAAATCATAAGCATGGTGTTTGTCAATAATACAAGAGCGACAGGGACAATAAAAGCGAATAGGTTGGCCCAGAATTTTGCAACAAAGCACTTCCCCTGGTAACCGTAGCCTGAAAAGTCTTCTTTTGGTATCCCCAGGAAAACACAAAGCAAAACAATAGTTGTAGCAGTCATAGCGACGAAAATGACGTATTTTTTAAACCGTCTACTGCTTCTGTCGCTGCCAACATGATGCATTCCTCTGAAAGTTTTGAAAATGTCATAGGAAATAGTTAACATCCACATAAAACTAGCCATCAGAGCCCAATGAAGAAAAACTCCGCCTGCTTTACAGAAGTATCTGACGTCATTAAGATGTGTCAGCAGTAACTGTAGTCCATGAGACAAAAATAGTGTGCAACACAGAGATACAATATTTCTTTCAAAAAGAGACAGCCTCTGCTTACATAGACCATATTCTAGCAGGAGAAGGATGATGCCAACAAGACTTAAACTGTTTCCGAAATCCGAGAGAATGGAATATTTTCTATTATCAGCCCCAACGCGTGACACTGTATAGACAATAGTTGTCAAGTTGTTTGTTGTAGTGCCGTTTGTTTTCACTGCATTAACTTTCTGCTTTTCGAAAATATTAACCGTGGTCCTGGCAATCACTTGTATTGCAGCAAAAAAGTATGTGCTTACGACATCAGGGCCCGTTTCTATTAAGTCCTTAACTAAAGGTTGGGGCGCAGGTTCTGTTGGAATTGGTGGTATAGGAGGAATTGGTGGTATGCCGGTAAAATCTGTAATGTTTATCAATGTTGGTGTAATTTTAGTTGTTGTTGCTGTTTTTGTTGTTGATAGTGTTGTTGTGGTTGCTGTTGTTGTTAATGGTCTGGAAGTCGTCGATGTCGTTGCATTGGTGCTAACATTGCTACACAACTGTTGAAGCGAAGATCCGTTGATTAAGCAGCTGTCTTTATATTCATGGCAGAAATTTTGGAAAAGTGTTTTTTGCGAATAACTTTTGAACGGCACGTGGGAATCGAAAAATTCCAAAAAAAAACAAAATAATGACAAAGGGTCCTAGTCGAATACGAAATCTGAGAGTTGGGGTAAAGGGGTAAGGCGGGGTAAACCCCAAAAAACACATGTCAGGGTATAGGGCAAAAAACGGCCAAAACAGGTTTTTCGTGAATAACTCGAAAACGAAAAGGGGTATCGAAACGGGGTTTGCGGGAGGTCGTAGAACTAGTGGGGGCGCTCCTCTGGCAAAAAACGGCACTCGGATTGGGCGTGGCACCTACGTCACAGTGACGTCAGAAGAGGCGATTTTGGCACTTTTTCGCCGATTTTCAAACTAACGGGGATAAAAAGTGACAAGAGGTACAGACGGCCGAATAGGCTCAAACTGTGGCAAATTTAGTGGGGTAACTGAGAACCTTCGTTTGCACCAGGGTACCGCCTTTCTGTTCCGAGTTATTTGGCACAAACCGAGTGGCACTGGTGCCGAAAAGTGACAAAAACACACTTTGGACCGTAATTTTTGAACCACAAAAGTGACAGAACTGGGACGTGGCTCAAACGAAAGATCTCCTTGAGGTCCACGAGTGACCTGAGTTTGGGCGTGGTTGGGCGTGGTCGTGACGTCACAGAGGCAAGCGAAAGTGGGCCCTGTTTGGGACCTCGGCACAGAGAGACCAAAAGTGGTACAGATGTGCAAACGGCGCCAAAGTGATCGCTATATGATGGATTGAAAAGGGTGGGAACGGCGACTTGGTACCTTTTACGGTTGCGCCACTGTGTGCCAAAAACCAAAAAATAGGGTCAAAAACGGGGTGCCAAAAAAGTCTTTTGGCGATAACTTTTGAACCAGCGGGGGTACCACGACGCCCCTCACACCAAATGTTGCCCCTTTCAAGGGGCATCGTTGGGTGTGGTCGGTTTTGGATTTGGGCGTGGCTATGACGTCACAGCGACGTGGGAAAATTGAAAAAATTTTTGACTTTGAGGCCGAATAACTTTTTCTGTGTTTCAGTGTTGGGAAATCCAAACGTGCCAAAAAACTTTCCATCGAGTTGGCAATCCGGGCCTGTGGTCGAAAATCGATTGCCACATTTTCTTTGTGCCAAAAAGTGCCAAAAGTTAAAAGAGCCATAAAATTTTGGTTTTTTGCGAATAACGTTTTTCACAGACGTGGTACCCCCCCCAACATACCACCTAAATGGATAGAGGGCGTCGCGGCGCATCTTTTGATGGTATGGTTGTTCCAAAAAAAGTTGAAGATAATGTGCCATTTTGGCACAAAGTTTGAAAATGTGCCAATTTCAGACGTTTTTGCCTATATCTCTGCCCATGTATGTGGTACCTCAGCTTGCAATGGCTCATATGAAAGGGCGTCGCCAGGCGGTCAGTTTGATGTATAGGGTTTTAGATTTGGGCGTGGCTGTGACGTCATAGCTACGTCACAATGGCGAATTTAGGCCCATTTTCAAAAATTCGTTTCTCTTTTGTAAAACCAGTGTTAGTGTGGGTAATACGTGGAAAAGATGGGTAAATTAGTGTTCTTTGATGGGGTGGAGTGTAATTTACGGTACCTGTCACAGTTTTTACAGAATTGGCACATTTGTAATGGCCGGTATTTTAAAAACGTTTAGGCCCATAACTTCTGCGATACATAAGGTACCTCGGATGTTATTGCAGCAAACGAAAGATCTCGTCGATACGAATCGATTAGTGGTATTGGTTTAGGGGTTACACCTAGTAATGACGTCACTATGACCGGTTGAAGTTTTGGCACTTTTCAGTACTGTATCCTATATAGCCACTATACAGTTCCTATACAGTATAAAGAGTATACAGTGCATTTCCTATAGGCTTTTCCTATACATTTAGGCCCATTGACTGTTTTGTTTACTTTAGCCTATTGTTTGGGCAAATAGCAGGTATTTTTATGGTTCGAAACAAACGGAAGTAAACTTCGATCCTTCTGCCTACTATCTGGAGTAAGAGGGTACATTTCCTATAGGGTTTTCCTATACATTTAGGCCCATTTGTTTACATTAGGCCCATTTTACAGGCAGATAGCAGGTTCTTCTATGGTTCTCATTGCAAGGGGGCATTCATTAATCCCACTTCCTGGTTGGGGTAGGGGTACACATTGGTTGTTTTAGGGGTGAATGAGGGGTAGGGGTGGGGGAGGGGCTAATAGGGAGGGGGGAGAGAACTTTTTTGGAATATAATCAAAACTCTCTGATACACGATTTGGAATAGGGGCCACTTCTCTTGTGACAGCACAAAGACAGTTGCGGGTTCACACCACTCCCCCCACCCCCTTTTTTATTCCCCTGGGGATGTTCCACTGGCTCGGAGTAGAGTGGTGTGTTGATTGATTTCGCTGTTACGTTCAAGGCAGTGTCTTCACACCACTTAGGTGTTGCGGCAATCTTCCTGCATGAATCCTCAGTCGCAATCAACTGGGAAATGATCAGCCTGCACAAGTATTCTTCATCAAGACTTTCTGTATTATTGAAAGTCGTTGCGTTGACGACTCTAGCTGTAATCTCCATGAATTTTGGATACTTTCCCAGCAACAGTTTTAACATATCACCAGCAGTATCATTGAGAAAAGCCCCAATATCAATACTGTCAATACCACTGACCTCATCCCTTTCGAAATTTGTCTTGTTTAAATGAAGCGTGGAGCAGACAACTCCTGAAATTCCAGTTACCAATAGCAGTATTACGAAGCTTTCAGGTCTCATTTTGTTTATTTTGAACCTCTCGCACCTAGCTCTGAAACAGTTCCGGTCAGTTGTCGACGGAGTGCGGCGCTGTCTCTAAGCTTGCTCCATGTGAGCTGGACTATCTTGTCAAAATCATCTAGTAGTGTTCATTTACCTTGAAAAGGAAACATATCATGTGCATTTATCGCCAAGACAATACAGCCAATTGGCATTTATTGTTTGGCTTTCAAAGCCCTCTACTTTTCTTTAGAAATTTCTAAATTTCAATCAAAGGTGTGAGCTTCAATAGGGTGTGTAGTGCAATTGCTTGCCTGTTCAGCCCTCATTTGCCAACAAAGTGACTGAGACAACTTTCCTTTGCCTACAAGTATGAAAATTCACCGAAAAAGCACTCACAAGTGGCAAAAATATTCGTTATTGAGATGAAACGTTGCTCAAATTTGCATTTTATAGTAGCTTAGTCTTAGCTTATTCTTAATTTGTTCTTAACTTTTGACCAATTTTGAGGCTTGTGAAGTGTAGTTGCTTCAGAAATCCGATAAAGATTGAATTTTATATTGTCATGCAAGGAATCATCAAACTTTCCGAGGACTCTCCATATGCATTGCACAAACCCATTTGGTGGCATGAATCTAGATTGAATTAGGTGTGTATTGACCTTGCACCTGAAGTCTCTTAGAAAAGTTCATGGCAGATAAATGAATAAATCAAACCCTATTTTCCTTTGATATTCATTCCTCCATGTGCTTATCTCAAAAGATTTTAGAAAAAGCGACAAAAGCACTCTCTAGACACTGCAAATTGAAAGTAGACCATCTGGGAGTTCGCGATGCCATATTGAATTATATTGTTCTACGGCAAAATCCAATCCCTCATGAGGGGCAAGCCAGCGAAAAATTCATGGTCAATAGAGGCCGCTCTTTTATCCTCTTGGCCGTGAAACTTCATTAGAATAGACAATGATACGTATAGAATGAAAATGAAAACCTTTCGTTGATTAACAATGGACTTTGTTTGAGCTACAGATGAATTTACAAATGTCGATGATATACAATGCCTGCAAAAAGTACTTGGAACACCCAGCAATTTACGCTGCATTTGATATCTTTCTTTCCTTTCATGAAAAAAAAATTGCTACTTCCGCCCCTTTCCCCTTAAACAATGTTGATGACTTAGAGAAATATCATAAAAGAAGCGAAAAAAAATTCTTCCTTAAACCCTAACGAGGTGATCTGAATTCCGCTGTCTCGTTACTAAAGTGAATTCGAATTCAAGGATGAGAGATGAGGCAAGCGATGACAATCATGTACAATATATAATATTCCATGTTTAAGTTCTTGACAAGCTTATGACCTCATCAACCGGAACTTAATTCCAAACAGTCCTCTAGTCCTTCTTTGATCTTGTTCTCCTGTTATAAACTCGAGACTAAAATATAACGCTAGCTTCTTCACTTTACTTTTTCGTTTTTTATTTTCCAGTAAAACCAAGGGCACTCAGAATTGGCACTCAGAATTGTGTACAGTCATGCGGACCATGAAACTTTCCTGAAATTAGATAATACAGTATCCGCACACCAACGCAACCTACATTACTAGCTGATAGAGATATACAATGCCAAAAATAATCTGAATTGATTCTAGTGTCATGAGTGACATTTTTGTGACAGGAGGTGTAGAATTTGGCTTCCTACATAAGAAAACCCTTGGCATTACTAATTCATGGAAGAAGCAGCTGAACTTGTCAATTTCTATAGCATAGAATGTTACTATGAACTGTCTTTTTCCAGCATATTTTGAATTTAAGTAATGCAATTCAGTTGCCACTTACTAACATTTCAACGTACTTACGTTTCATTTAAAGAAGTACATGTGTGTACGGTCTATCGATTTCATGCAGCAGAAATAAAATTTCCAAGCTTACTGCATGCCTTGCTTAAGATGCAGCATGTGGTATCATTCATAACATACCTTATTGCACTCTCTCTAATGCAGAAGCAAAACACAGTAAACACTTATATTCATCCTGATTAAATGAAATGGAAACCCTGAATCGATAGAATTTACCTAATGCACTTTTCATTGAAGCTTCAATACAAACAACCCATAATTTCTTATCTTTCGTTTACATTTCTGAGTCTGGTCAGTATTTAGAATTTATGAAATATTAATTGTAGGTTTTTTTCCAATAGATACACCAGTGTGCTCGTGCGTCAAAGCAAAGTTTCCCAGATCCCCAATCTTGACGCATCTCTCCAATTGTTCTCATAAATTATTAACTATCCTAGTTATAGCAAAAGCTTCATGACTAAAAAGCAATTATATTGTTTATTTGGAGAATGAATCAACTTGACAATGATGAGACTCTATTCTTCTAAAAACATTTTGCCCATCTATTCGATACCATTTATGGCTTCACAAATCTCTTTTACATCTAATCTTCCATGGCAGCTGAAAAGTAAAAGCAACTAACCAGGGCTCAGATTGTCAATCATTGATAAAGTTGATTGCAAAGAACTGCTGAAAATTTGGAGTTAGTGGGTATGGGCTTGAATAGCTTTGGGGGATGGAAGAAAGGTAAAAATTAGAATGGACTGTACTATATCAGCAATCTTTTGATCACCTTACCGTGCCCGCCTCCCAGGCCTTTTAAGGTTGCTGTGTAGTTTTTAAGATCTAAATATGAAATAAATAAAATCTGATGACAAATAAAGCTATTATGATTATTTCTAACGTTCCAACCACCAAAAACACCACCTTGCCTACACAGGTTTGTCAATCTATTTGATTTCATTCTTGCTTAACATGCCTTCTTAATATCGTATCTTTCAGGGTAGCTGAAAAGTAAAGCTACAGACCAGTGTTCAAATAGTCAATCGTTGATAAGATAATGTTCAATATGAAGAACTGCTGGAAATTTGTCCATTGTGACAAAACACGTTTCAGGAACCATTTCCCGATCATACGAAAAGAGAATGGGCAACCAGTGCTTTTAAGTTAGTGAATATACGACTTAAGAGAGTCTTAAGAGAGTGTTTGACTGTACAACATTACGAAATCATTTTGAAGGAATTCTAACCAATACCGATCAGCTCGGGGGGGGGGGAGGGGGCTAATTAGGTCTAGTTTTGGACGGGGACGTGCTATTTTGGCTCAAAATTTGGACCCATAATTCCGCTAATGTCTGAAAGAATGTGACCCATAATTCCGCATACATGATGAAAACTATACCCAAAACTCCGCAAAGGAAATAACACAACACAATCATCACACGAGTTTTGGATGTCCCTTGGCCAAAAATCTCAATATTACAAATATTTCATACTTTAATTTCTAACTGGACATTCATTTTGTTAAAACTAAATTTCCTTTCTAATAATTCTCGACTATTTCCCTATCATGGTACCCGTACTTCCGCACATAATTCAAAAACTGATACTGAAATTTCTGTACTTTTCAGAAAATGGCGCCCTTAAATAATGGCACGATACCGTATCCCAAAACCTATGAAGTTAGCCAACCCTCCAAGCCACCCCCCCCCCCCCTGAGCCAACCAGTTGGCAAAACTGCTAGAATAGCATAGCGACATACTGTCCTATAGAGTATACGGGGACCACCAAGAAAATTTGGCCATTACTTCGCGACATGGAAACCATTCAGAAAATGCTGATCAATAAATGAAACTCTAACAGAGTCAATTACACGGGGAAGGTAGTAGAATTTATGTTCACTAGGGGATTCTAATGCTAGCTGAATTGTAATATTATCACTTGGGTGCTAACGATCTAACCTTAATTCTTGTATTAAGCATTTATGTGCTGCTTTTGATGCCTTTGGGAATAATGAAGAAGTAAGAGATCTATGAATTGCGTTTTTGCATGAAAGTGTTTATCCCTTTGCTCAGATGAGTGTATTTGAGTGCTTTTGGTAGGGCTTATCGTGCCTGTTTAGAATGCTTTTTCCACGCTGTTCTTTTCTCGCAGCTGTTTATGGCAAAGGCTTGCTGATGAAATGGTGATTGGCCAGGTTTGTGTACCGTTTAACAGGTATGTTTACCAGGCTGTTTTGCAATATGCTTTTTGTTCGTAGCTTTGTCTCCTGTCTCCTGCAGCGAAATTCTGTATTTCCACTTTTTTCGAAATGAATTTGTCACCTCGTGCTTGTGCCTTCTTTGCTGGAATTATGGTGCGATTATTTTGGGCTATGTTTTCATAATCAGTTGTCTGTTAACAGTTTCTTGAGTGTGCCATTCCATGGGCTTCGACACAGGTTCGGAAGGGGGGGGGGGAGGCAAGAGAAAGTTTAACACTCATAAGAAAAATTTTGGTAAAAGCTCAACTGTTTTGAAAAGAAGTAGGGGGAAGGCTCCCTGGCCCCCCTCCACTTCGCAGAAGGCCCTGCCTTCCGTTAACACCTGTATTTAGGTGTTAACGGAAGCAAATATTTTTTATCATAACAGTAATGTTCAGATATTGTTTACAAAACAAAAAGGCTTCGATATTTTAGCAAGTATAAGTTATAATATATTTTTATAGATGACAAGATATATGTGGACAGTAATAACTTTTGTGTTGTTGTTGTTGGTGAGAAGATATAAGCAAAAACGTTTTGGCTAGGAATTAACTGAATGAATAAATTTTTGTTTCTGTTTCTCTGGCCTTCTATCAAGTATCATTCCTAGATTTGAGCTATGTCATGGCGAATTTAAGCGGTTTTATTGTTAGAATGAAGGCACTCGAAAGACATAAAAGACTACTGTATTTATGAGGCGTAGTTGCTGCAATGGAAAGAGTTAATGATAATCGTTTTACAAAGTTGTCCGCTTGTTCTATCCATAGACTATGTTCTATTCAAAAAAGGTTGGCAAAGGAGTGAACTCTAGCTCTTCCCCGTTCAGATTCAGTTGATTTTCCAGTTAAGGCCATGTCATTTCTTTTGTTCCAGGGTAGAAGGGAGGACCCTTCTTTTTGCTGGAAAATGTTTCTTTTTATCTTAGAGCAAGTTATTTGCTAGGTTCAAGATCTTTAGGGGGAGTATTGCTTTCAAGAATCAAATCTTTGCATAACTTTCGTCTTGGTGATGCTTCGACATCCCCTGCTCCTCATTTATCAGAACTTGTCCAAGGCTTCCCAGGGTTTTTTAAATGAAAATTTAGAATTGCACATTTTTATCTGGAGCACTGTGTTGAAGGAATCATTATTGGTTCTGACAAATATAAACTAAATGTACATGATTCTCCGGTACAGGTAGCTTGTGTTCAAGACCAGTGGCGTAGCCAGGGTTGATAGAGTGGAGGGGCAAAGTGGAGTCCAACAGGAGAGGGTCCGGGGCTTTACCCCCGGGTAAATAATTGCTGACCACACCCTTAAGAATTTGGAGAAACGACGCATTTTGTAAATGCGTTGGTTTTTTTACATGGCAATGGTTGGCTAATCAAACGTATAAGTTTCAAACTAATGGAGCAAAATTTGCATAATCCCCGACAAGAATTTCAGAATCAAGTTCTTTTAAGGATTGAAGAGTTTAGAATTTTAATTTCTATTTTACCGAGAATTTCTAAAAAACATTAAGGACTTTTCTATATAAACCCTAAAACGAGGGGAAATTGTAAACCTTTCTGTAAAGGTGCAGACTAGGGTCCCCTGCGATCAAATTGAGCAGAAAATTTTTGCGACCACGCCCTTTAGATTAGCTCCCTCCCCCTGTGAGCTACTAATTTTATTGCAGATTTGCACTTTTCTCCGATACCAACCCTCTGTGCATTGGGGGGGGCTACTCCAGACCCCATAATTGAAATTCGAGGTTTGGATATTGTTAATGTAATATCAATCGGCAGAAAAAGCAAGTAAATTTTGAACTCAACTTGGAAGCAAAATTACAAAGTATGTGATAATAGAAAATCACAATTTCGAGCACATGACAGCCAATGTGAGATCTTGGTTATATAGAATCACGATAAACCACAGTCAACTATATAGAATCTTGAAAAACAAAATTGTATTTGTTGAGTGACATTTGATCGCGATGTAATATATAAAGTTTTGAAAATCTTTATACCGTCTTTTTTCGAGCTATGCCAATTAGACAAACGAAACGGATGACGATAAAGCAAGGTATTAATAGTAATTGCATAACAGCTTGAGAAGTAAATGTTAAATTGTCTACAATTCAGTTGTCGGTCTGTTTGGTTTGACCGTACAATTATAAAATTTAAATTCGAAACTGATGACAGGATTGATTTTTTGCTCTAATTTTAATGTTCTTTTCTCTGATTTAAGAGTTTAAACAGGCTCCTGCTTTGACACTATCAATTCCATGCTTCCTGTATGTGTGACTTAAAAATGATATAGCGACTATGAAGTTTCGTAAAAATTATATTTCCTCTACATCGAATATCTTCTATATCTATAACCTATATATCCCAATAGGTCTTTGTTTAATTTTAGTGCCATCTTTATTATCTTTTTTGTGTTTCATCATTCACCCCTTTGTATGTTTTTCCTGCAAAATTTTTCCTTTATCTTTTGTTCGTTGAATTGAAATTTTAGAACTACACAGATTTTTCTTTAGAACTGCAAAAAAAATTTAAGAACTGCACATTTTGTGTAGAACTGCACGTTAAAAAACTCTGGTGCTTCCATGGTTCTCTGTTATAATACCAATCGGCAGCCTTGCGTCAGACTCCTTGGTCATTAAGACGATTTGATATGATCATCTTGTAAGGGTTAATTGCTTGTTTCATTTGATGCCATACCTATTTATGATTACTTTGATTTAGTTTTCTCTATCTTGCAAATAACTGTTAGTGGTGTAGCCCCGTAGCTCTCAAGCTTTTCGAGCAACAGCACCTACAATCTCGGACAAAATTGTTGACAAAAAATGCAATTTCTGTAATTTTTTCTTTATCTTTTCCCTATAAATTCTAGGGGAGAAAGTTATTTTTGAAAGGAAAGTGAAAATATGAGCTTTTCTTGAAAAGTCTCGACCATTTTGTCCGGGGTTGTAGCACATTCGAAGTTTTGGTATTGATTGGCCGCCTCCACTTCCCTAAGCCCAACTGTATTTTAGATACTTTTTATTATGATAACAAAAATTGAAGGTTGGAAAAAGGATTTTAGCAATGTGAATTTCAAAGTATATTTTAAATACATCAAGATTCATATGCTGATTTGAATACGGCAGAGTTGTCGATGTGCTACATACTTTTTCATGAGTTGCGCATGTGACGTTACTAATGTTACACTTCCCAGGAACATGGACATTTTTGAGGGGATGGGGGGGGGGGTTGGATACTAATTTGATTTTGGTGCCACGCCCTTCAGGTCGCTGGTAAATGATTGAAAAGCCTATTTTCGATATTCGGCTTTCAACTTTACGGTAAAGAAGATGAATAATGTAAAATTTTGGCGTTATTTTGCTACTACTGCCTACCAAAAAATTAATTTTACCGAATAGAAGCGAAATTTACCGAAGGACACAGAATTATTGGGGGGTGCCACACGCCCGACCTCCTCCGCTAAATCAGTACCTGTCTAGGAACGTATCACTACAGAAAATTCAAATAAAGCCCTGGCCTTCAAATTTCTCAAAAATAAAGCCCTAATCCTCCTTCACACTCTAATAGAGTCAGTTTTTGCGTTTATGATTAATGTTCATTTAGGCCCTTCACATTTAGAGCATTGCATAGTTCCTTTTTGCAGACGCAGCGTTCTATTATGCGTGACGTAAATTTTGCGTGACGCAGCATGCCTATCTTTTGTATTAGGATTGACCCTGCATAGGATTTGCTGAGGTAATGGTATTCCTTTATAAACTGTATTACCTCATGCCTCTTTTAGGTATTATTTCTGGTAAGTCATCATTTCGCATCTTAGGAAACTGCTGACATAGCGCCCCCCCCCCTCCCCCGGACTTTCTTCCACCTAACCTTGGACTATATAAAACAAGGGCCGGATAAAGGCTCTGCAGGGCTCTAGGTTGTGACAAATTTCTAATTCTTTCCCATTGTCCAGCACCCATTTCTTTCTTAAGGTTTTTAAAAAAAATGCATATAATACATTGGGATAGGATTTGGCCTTCTTTTGCGTAGAAAGACATTTTAATTCTAATACTACAGTTCTAAACTTTTAAATTGGTATTTCATGCTGCTATTTTAACAAAATGCCCTATTCACACTAATAAAATTTTCACAAAAACAGATCCACAGTTTTAATTTACAACTCAACAAAGCAAATCAGATTCACGCTTATTTTAGACCTTGATTGTTATATAAAATACATATTATTTTATAATTATAATATAATGATGTAGATTAAGTTTGGTTGTATGAGTTGCCCGTGTAGAGTAAGTATAAATGAGTGTGTTAGTTTTTTTTGAGCGACTATTCAATATCGTGACACCCATGAGTGTCTGTTGCTGCCCAGGAACGATTTCGATTACTTGCTTTATAGGAAAATGCTCACTCAATCTGGTACTTAGATAGTATGTTACATTCGAATTTATGTTTTTCGTGATTTTTTTCTTTCTGTGTTTAAGGAAATGCTATGGTCCCCTTTTCGCAGAAAACAAAATGTTTTACTTTTTTAGGGAAGAACAAAACTCCTATTTTGTCGCTTATTGATTCTTGCATAAGGCAATTAAATTACATTTTTTGCCTCTGTGAAGGGCTCAATTGGATTAAAAAATCTCCGTATGGATCCAAGATGCACGGATTTGTATGCGCAATCCTACTACGAAATTTTGGCGGCAATTATTCAACCTCAGAAGTGAGAAAATAATTGATCCTTTACATCGATTGAAGGCTATTGTCCCTGTCATCATATTTTTGTTTTTTTGTTTTTTATAAGATGCTCCTTGGATTTTGTTTACTTCATATTCCAGCGCATCTTTCAGCATAAACTTTGCTCTACTGTCCTTTAAAAACGTCTTTATTCATTTTGAAAAAGCAGACATTTTGATAAATAGATTTAATAGCTGAGATTAAACCAAATCGAAAGATCAGAAACAATAAGTTTCTTGTCGTTTTGTCGCCAAGTCTAGGAATGCAATCTACGAAGTTCCTCGATATGGACATCTTCCGCCTTAATTTGGATCCGTACCTGTTTGGATCCGATCCCAACCGTTTACACGAGACCTTTTTGGGATCGGATCCAAACGGGACCACCTTCAAAAGCGATCCCAAAAGGGTACGGATAGCAGATTTAAATGGGACCGAATCCGCTAGGTCCAGTGTAAACGCAAAGCCTATCCGTACCACTTTGGGTCCGATCCCGTGTAAACAGGCCCTAAAATTAAGATCTCAAAACTTTTCCGGGTTGCCAAAAATAGATATATGAATCATGCAATCAGAATGCGAGAACAAAAGCTTTTGCAGGAGCTTCTGCGGTCAAACCTGAAATGCTGTAGAATTCACTTTAAAAGAACCACTGTGAACTCACTTCTTTGTGAATTCACTTTAAAAGAACCACTGTGAACCATTTTACGGAATAGTGCCGTACACTACATTACCTTATAATCAGTACATCGTACGAATTGATACCTTATATTCTCTATATTACCTCGTGCTCGCTAAAATTTCTCCATCAAAATTTAATCTAACTCGGTCCTAGTTCACTACTATCCTAAACTGTCCACTAAAGAATATTATTAATCAACAAAATGAATATTTAAGAAAAAGTACCGTATTTTTGATTGTGTCATTAGTCATAAAGCAATTATTTGCCCTGTAAGCTCTTAATTTTTTTTCCTTTTGAACATATTCAAAATGTACACGATTTGTTTGCAAAACAAAAGAGTTTTTGCAGAACATCCTTATTATTAAACCAAAGAAACGCAACCATCTGGTCTGTTCATTGCTGCGCTAATTTACTTTTGGCTGCTAATTTAGATCAATTAAATCACCACTTCCTTGTGAAAACAGACGCACTTTGCTGACGACTTAAATTTTCCATTTGTTGGACTACACAATAGAGTATTGTTACGTATCCAATCGGCAACGTAGGCTAATACTCTATTGTTTCCTACATTGTAAACGCACTGCAAAGCCTATTGTTAACGCTGAACGGTTGATTGACAGGGCAAAGTGCTTGTCAAATCAGCGGGTCGGTAGTATCACGCTCACTGATTGGCCAATTTTTTATTTAAAGATGTCTTGAGCGACTTTCATATCAGTTGGTGTATTTCTCGTTCGTTCGACATACATGTTGCTGCCGATTGGTGTTGAAGATTAAAAACTCTTGTTGATGACTGTTTGAAATTCCAAGAAACATTTCAAAATGGAAATGCTGTTTTTTCGTGTCTTTGTTTGCCTTCTTTCGCCACCAGCTCTGCTTTATGCCTCGACTGATATACCATCTACAAATGTGACTGTGAAATCTAAGAATTTCACAGCAGATGAAGACATAAGATCTGCATTTGATTCAGCAATCGATGAGACAAGTACCCAGCTTTCAGAAGCTTTGCTTTTTCGGTATCCGAAATTATTAGCTGTGGTGAAGACACTGGTCAACAGAACTTTAAACGGCAATCTTGGCCAGTTTGTGAATTTGAGTGACGTGTGCAACTCTGCTGGATCTTTGCTGAAAGGCGTAAGCGATAGATGCCAGGAGCCAGAAATGTCACAAGAATTAAAAGATCAATGTACTTCATCAAACAAAAATTCAGAATCGAATGGAAATTTAACTTTAACTTCTGTTTGCGAGTCTAGTTCAAATCAAAAGCATTCCATATCTCGACGATCGATCCCTTCCATACCGTCGTTTCCGTCTGGTACATTTCCTCTAGGTCCGTCCGATGGTGATTCAGGGAATAATTCATCTGGTACATTTCCTCCAGGTCCGTCCGGTGGTGATTCAGGGAATAATTCATCTGGTACATTTCCTCCAGGTCCGTCCGGTGGTGATTCAGGGAATAATTCATCCGGTACATTTCCTCCAGGCTCGACCGGTGGTGGTTCATCTGATGTACTTAACCCCACAACGAAAATACCGGTCCCGGTTACAGCCAGTAGCAATGATAGCAACAGCACCACTCCAAATAAAGGTCCTGATTTTAACCCAATAGACTATTATTTCTTCGCAGTTAAAGTTCTTGCTAGAACTGTTGCTATATCGTACGAGAAAAGATGTAAGAATCTTAATGGAGTTTACAACAGTTTTGAAAATACATGCCAAATTCAAGTTACACGAGAAACAGTGAGTAGAGAAAACAAAGAAACAAAGAATACAAGCATATTCACCATAAAAAATGTCAGCCTTGTAAGAAGACTCAACAATGTTCCAAGGTCAAGAATGCCCATCTTTTACATAACAGTGATTGGTAATACAGTAAGCACAATTTTCTCGGTTGCCTTGATTCTCTCTTATATGTTTCTCAAGACAACCTTTTCAACATTTGACAAAAATGTAATATGTTTGTCAGTCTGCTTGTCCTTGTCACACGTTTTGCAATTTCTTGTGAACTGGCTAAATCAAAAGCCTATATGGTGCAAAGCGATTGGCATCTTACTGCACTGGTCATTGCTCGATTCTTTCATGTGGATGGTTGTGATGTCATATGACTTTTTCTCCACTTTCTCCTCTAAAATGCTAATCATTGATCGAAAGAAGAAGAACAGGTTCAGAAATAGCCTCATTTTTACTACACTATTGTCGACATGTGTGGTATTAACATGCATCTTTATCGGAATTCCAAAGGAGGATTTCTCTGGCTACGGCATCAATGGTATATGCTTTGTTTCAAAGTTTTGGGCAAACTTATTTGGCTTTGTTCTCCCAGTGTCACTCATTTTGGTGCTGAATATTGTCTTTCTTGTCTTCAGTGTAATGAGAATTCACAGAATGAAGCAAGATAATAAAAAAGCTTTGCAATTTAGCAACTCCAACCCATCAAAGAAAAATATTGCTGTTGGCCTGATAACATTAAAACTATCAGTATTATTTGGTTTGGGCTGGCTCTTTGGATTTCTGGAAGGGTTTGTCCGTAGTGAGGTTCTTTCCTACCTCTTCTACATTGTTGTCTCATTTCAAGGTGTTGCCACATTTCTTGCATTTGGAAACTTTAAAGATTTTAGAAATCGGTGTATTAGGCAGAGAAAGGACAACAGTTCCTAAAAAGTCAACAGTTTCTCGAACTTATTGCACTGAAAAGTTATCACAAAAAATCCTATCTATTGCATGAAGTAAAAGAAGAGCTGGTAGATGAAGAAGTACTAGAAGAGGAATGAGGAGAACAAAAAGGAGAAGAAGAGGAAGAAGAAGAAGGAGTAGAAGAAGAAGGAGTAGAAGAAGAAGAAGAAGGAAAAGAAGGCGTAGAAGAAGAAGAAGAAGGAGTAGAAGAAGAAGAAGGAGTAGAGGAAGAAGAAGAAGGAGTAGAGGAAGAAGAAGAAGAAGAAGAAGAAGAAGAAGAAGAAGAAGAAGAAGAAGAAGAAGAAGAAGAAGAAGAAGGAGTAGAAGAAGAAGAAGAAGAAGAAGAAGAAGAAGTAGAGGAAGAAGAAGGAGTAGAAGAAGAAGAAGAAGGAGTAGAAGAAGAAGAAGAAGAAGAAGAAGAAGAAGTAGAGGAAGAAGAAGGAGTAGAAGAAGAAGAAGAAGGAGTAGAAGAAGAAGAAG